TTTTATAGATAGGAAAACGGACTCATAAACCACCTTTAAGTGTCTGATTTAACTTACATTATATCCATGGAGACAAACAAACGTCTCAAAGATGAAATGAGCTTACATTCTTATCGCTATCATCATGCCACTATTTGTTATTGCATAATTTAAAGGCTATTTCGTTTCCATTTCTTCATTTATTAAATGCAAACATGTTCACTTTACAGTTCATGAGAGATTGAATTGATTTAAGAATGTTTTTAAACAATTAAATGTATTGCATGAAAAAGAAAATACACCATTTAAAAAAACTATTACAGTAATATGGCTTGATTGGTTTTTGACTGGAAGTATTTTGTAAGATTTTCTAAACTTTTGCGCATTTTATTGTTTAAAATATTGCATTAATCCATAATAAATGTTTTTAACTGTTGTTGTTTCAATTGTTTGACAAATATGTGTTTACTTAATGTCCGTTTTATGCAACAGTCACGTGTTTTGTACCAAACCTTGATGCTGCAGTCTTGATGTTGAATCTTTAACCTTTATAGGAATCTGTGGATCAAATCAACAAACACCTCTCGCAGGGAAACATGAATTCACACAGGACGAGAACGGCCTCGGATTATGAAACAAAAAGCATGAGAAGTGAGAGAAGCCGCACAGAGAGAGAAGAAGAAGAGCTTCCTGCTGTCCTGCAGCACAAAAACAAGCAGAAGAGAAAATCATTAGCTGTGTTGGCGCCGCAGGGTTAATGGTTCAATCAATGTCAAGCGCTGGAAATAAACTTTTGAACCGGACAATCTGCCGGCTGGAGCCCGCAGACTCACACCGAGAGAGCCGGAGGAGAGAGGCGCTTTACTGCAGCGACAGCGACACCATGAGGCCGCGGGAGGTACTACATCTCGAAATCTGCAGACAGGTCAGAGAGCAATAAGTAAAGTAGTACTTCTATCTAACTACACCTCTAAATCTGCAGGGATCAGAGAGGAGGGAGAGCAGTAAGTAAAATAAATATTTATATCTAACTACACCTCTAAATCAGCAGGGATCAGAGAGGAGGAAAAGCAGTAGGTAAAAGTAGTACTTCTATCTAACTACACCTCTAAATCTGCAGGGAACAGACAGGTCAGAGAGCAATGATTAAAGTACTTACTACACCTCTACATCTGCAGATGGGTCAGAGAGGAGGGAGAGCAGTAAGTTAAAGTAGTACTTCTACAGAATTTAAGATAACTTCATGGAATGTACGTGGGCTCAATAACCCAATCGAAACTTAAGTACCGGTAAGTGTTAAATAGAGCTAAGAGGTTGAATTCCCAAATACTGCTTTTACAGGAATCACATTTACCACAAAGTGATATTCATAAGATCCAGAAAAGATGGAATGGTCAGGTCATCGCAGCCTGCTATTCTCCCCATGCTAGAGGGGTGTTAACTCTTATACATTAAAGTAGTACTTCTATCTAACTACACCTCTACATCTGCAGACAGGAGGGAGAGGAGGGAGAGCAGTAAGCAAAGAAGTACTTCTATCTAACTACACCTCTACATCTGCAGACAGGAGGGAGAGCAGGGAGAGCAGTAAGCAAAGAAGTACTTCTATCTAACTACACCTCAGAGGGAAATATTGTACTTTTTACAGCCATAGTTACCTTTTACGTAATAAAATGCATGTGCTGATATGATATTATGTAGTACTGTAATAATAATACGTTTAATTTTCATAGCGCTTTTCCCAGTGCTCAAAGACGCTTTACACAAAATCAGAAACAGAAACAGCACAAAGAAAACACACTAATCTATCGAGGAAATGTCTTAAATTGTCTCCACATCGTCAAATGTCAAACAGTAAAATGCTTAATTTATAATATACTGTTGTGAAAAGAGCCAAGAACATTGAACTGGTTATTCTTCTGTACTTCAACATGACATGTTTAATGCTTGTAATGGAGTATTATAAGACAATAGTATTTATAATTTGAGTTAAGTAACTGGGAACTATTCTTTCACCACTGGTTAAGAGAAAATAAAAAGCAAGTACTGCAACTGACAAGAAACTAACATTGAGTTGAAAAAATACTATACAAAAACAAAAAGGACTATTGAAAATGTACAATATAACAGGATTCGGGTGTGGCTATTTCCTGGAGCTACTTACCCACTTTACTGACTGGAAAATAAAAAACGAAAACATTTTTCGGGTAAATAAATCAATAAATGGTTGGTATATCAATACAACCAGGGTTCATACACTTTTTCACCAATGATTTTCAATGACCTTTACCTAATTATCCATGACCAAAACAATTACTCTTTCTCAGCGTACCACTGAAAATGGTTTATTTTAACATGGAACAGGAAAATAAGGTCTGCATATGAAACATGTTGTGCCTATCATCTAAAACAAATCAAATAGACTACTACTAACCCTAACCCAACTCAAATCTCTCACCAGCAAAACACCTCGTCAGTTAAATGCCATTTTAAGTTTCATTACTACACGATACAGTATTTATTATCATTATAGTATTACTATTTCGGCGATTTGATAAAATATAAATTATACTTGATGCAACTTTAGTTACATTTCCATGACTTTTCCAGGGCCTGGAATTAGCATTTTGAATTTCCATGACTTTTCCAGGTTTTTAATGACCGTAAGAACCCTGAGAAACAAGTGAGATGGGGAAAAATAACCAGGAAGTTGACGGTGAAATGTGGAAATATTTAATGACATTCATTTAGCTGACGCTTTTTATTAAAAACATCCAGTGCAATTTAATCAAAGTAATGAGTTTGATTCAATATTTCTTATCAAATCTACGGCAGTAATCAGTACAACGATTATTACTGAAAACAGAAATATAAAGAGTTGATATTTGAAACCCTGAGAATAAACAACGCTTGCTAATCAATGATGGAGTGACGTCACATGTTTACGATGTTTACGATTCATAATCTCTGAATGACTCTCAGAAAAATCTCTTCAATTGGCTTTAATTTCTTGAAGTGTTTGAACTCCTGATTTCCCTCCGACGTCTTAATCTGACTCATTATTTTTAATGATTGACTTATTGATCTGACTCAAAGCGGCAGACGATGTTTGGATTTGTTGCTCATTAATAAATAAATGGGAGTTTGTTTCCAGAAACATCGACGTCATCTTTTAGGATGGAGCTCTTTTTTAAGCTCCTAAATGTGACAAATTAGTTTGAGTTGATTTGCTGTCTGTTCACATCACTCTTCAGACAAAGTCACTTCAAAGTATTTTAAATTAAAAACACACACAAGCAGACGAGAACATCCGTCTGTTTCAAAAACACTTTGACTTTGAGATGAAGCTAATACATTGCAGAAAGATCGCCGTCTACTTCTTGTCTCTTAATTATGAACTAATTTGTTGTGAATTTTGACTGAATTACGAATGTTTTTCAAGATGAACAAATGATGGGGACCAAGCAGGTGTTGTTATCTGATGCCCCTTTCACACCGAGGCTTTTCCCGTTCTCGCTCCGTGAGCTTTTCTGGTTCGGAACCGGTTCTTGGGTTCAGCTCCCGCTCTGTTCACACCGCTCAGAGCCCGACTGGTGCTGCGTCATTGCGTCATCGTTTGCGTCACGACGTAACCGTTTGCGTGCCTGCTTCATAAAGCCAAACCGCGCGGAAACCCCTCACATCGACAACAACAACAATGACCGATTGTATTGAAGTGCTACTCGTTTTGCTCTGTCGAAACGAAATGGAAGAAAGGGGACGACTTTACTACCAACTTTACAGTAGTTACATGCTACATTCAAAGGTTCTTTACAATCATCATCATCTTCAACAACGATCCGGTAGGAGATAGAAGGTAAAGTTTCAGGAACAAAGATTCTCTCTCTTTTTGATCAATTTATATAAAAACCTGTCTGAAAATGAGCTGATCAGATTTTGGCCACTTGATGATGTCATAACGATGTTTTGTCTTGAGTAACCATTAGCCAATCAGCAACTGCTAGGACTGTCTTAGGGAAGATAGCATTTAGATGCGCAGCTCCACTGTCCTGGAATAGTCTGCAATTAAAATGGAAACTGAGCAATCTGGTGCCACTATATGTTTTTAAAGCTCTGTTGGATGCTACTGAATCGGAAGCTGTTGGTACCTGTTCATGTGGCTAGTATGTAAACTGTAATCCCTGTAATGATACTGTATGATGTCCTTTTGTTGCTCTGTTTATGTTTTTAATGTTTCATGTGGAACCTACTTGAGCAGGTCTCCCTTGAAAAAGAGATCAATGATCTCAATGGGATACAACCTGGATAAATAAAGGTTTGAAATGAAATGAAATGAAAATATACGTCCTATTCGATGGCGTTAGAGCTAGCTGCTGTTAGCCTCTGCATGCGCCAAGCTCAAAATACCCAGCTTTGCAGCATTCATTACGATGGTATAACATTCAAACTGATTCTCAATGTTATTTCCACAGATCATGTTGAAGCTGGCAGAAAGGCGGAAGTCGCGTGTTATTTGGACACAGCCCAGATCTTCCGACGTAAGCGTGACGTATGCGGTGCTTGCTTTCTAGACCGACAACTTTTTGGTGCTTGAAAACGAACCGGACTCCGGAGCTTAGAGGCGCTGCGGTGTGAACAGGAAAGCTCCAGCTCCGGACCGGCCCTGGAGCCGCGTTGGTGTGAACGGGGCATGTGGGAACGTGGCTCTTCTTCAGTGCAACTCTTTTAAAAGAAAGAAGATATCAAATGTACCGAAGGCCAATTTACTAGCTTTTTCAGGAGCGTTCAAATGCATCTTTTGGCGTTCCTCAGTCGAAGGGACAACATTCATCTGGGAAGAAGTGAGTAATGGACTTTGAGTTAAGATATAATATGTTACACTGCTTTCTTCTTGACTTTTCCATGTTGTTTTCTGAGCTTTCAAGTGCATCTCCTGGTCTTCCTTTAGTGGAAGGAACTTCACAAACCTACTTTCTACAGGACTTTTCCAGGGTTGGGAATGAATTGAGTTTATTTATTATAACTTTATTATCATTAGTTTGCAGGTTTCTCTCTTTTTCTGTGAGGCACTTCAATCGAAAATAACTTTTAAAGTACAAACACTTCTACTTGGCATCCATTAAGGCTTTTATCATTTCAATATCAAAGTCTTTGTCACCTGAGTCAATATAAAGTTCTACTTCTTAGTGAAAAACTTCCTGAAGACACTCTTCTTGGACTTGTCTCTGTTCGTGTTGTCCTCTGTCAGCCGGGGGGTCACAGGCAGGGTTTGATGACTGTCTTTATCTATAGTGAGAAAAACTAATCAGAATCATTCACATACTTTAAAGGTCCCCTGTTATACTGTGTTTCATCAATATATCACAGGTCTCAGATATATACAGAGCCTGTCTCTGATTGGCTGAAACACCAAACAGATCATTGCAGCATTACCCACAATCCCCTCTGTTTCAGCCCTGTTTCCAAAGTGCTGATTCTCTGTCTGTTACTTTAGATGAAAATAAGGAGCCCCTCCCCACGCCCCTCTGAGAGAGACAGACACATGTTGATGAAGAAGAGACATGAAGAAGAGGGGACACATGTTGATGTAGAAGAGACATGAAGAAGAGGGGACACATGTTGATGTAGAAGAGACATGAAGAAGAGGGGGACACATGTTGATGTAGAATGAGACATGAAGAAGAGGGGACACATGTTGATGTAGAAGAGACATGAAGAAGAGGGGACACAATGTTGATGAGAAGAGAATGAAGAAGAGGGGACACATGTTGATGTAAAGAGACATGAAGAAGAGGGGACACATGTTGATGTAGAAGAGACATGAAGAAGAGGGGAACACATGTTGATGTAGAAGAGACATGAAGAAGAGGGGACACATGTTGATGTAGAAGAGACATGAAAGAAGAGGGGACACATGTTGATGAAGAAGAGACATGAAGAAGAGGGGACACATGTTGATGAAGAAGAGACATGAGAAGAGGGACACATGTTGATGTAGAAGAGACATGAAGAAGAGGGGACACATGTTGATGTAGAAGAGACATGAAGAAGAGGGGACACATGTTGATGTAAGAAGAGACATGAAGAAGAGGGGACACATGTTGATGTAGAAGAGACATGAAGAAGAGGGGACACATGTTGATGAAGAAGAGACATGAAGAAGAGGGGACACATGTTGATGAAGAAGAGACATGAAGAAGAGGGGACACATGTTGATGTAGAAGAGAGACATGAAGAAGAGGGGACACATGTTGATGTAGAAGAGACATGAAGAAGAGGGGACACATGTTGATGTAGAAGAGACATGAAGAAGAGGGGACACATGTTGATGTAGAAGAGACATGAAGAAGAGGGGACACATGTTGATGAAGAAGAGACATGAAGAAGAGGGGACACATGTGATGTAGAAGAGACATGAAGAAGAGGGGACACATGTTGATGAAGAGGAACATGAAGAAGAGGGGACACATGTTGATGTAGAAGAGACTGAAGAAGAGGGGACACATGTTGATGAAGAGAGACATGAAGAAGAGGGGACACATGTTGATGAGAAGAGACATGAAGAAGAGGGGACACATGTTGATGTAGAGAAGAGACATGAAGAAGAGGGGACAATGTTGATGAAGAAGAGACATGAAGAAGAGGGGACACATGTTGATGAAGAAGAGACATGAAGAAGAGGGACCATGTTGATGTAGAAGAGACATGAAGAAGAGGGGACACATGTTGATGTAGAAGAGACATGAGAAGAGGGGGACACACCTGTTGATGTAGAAGAGACATGAAAAGAGGGGACACATGTTGATGTAGAAGAGACATGAAGAAGAGGGGACACATGTGGATGAAGAAGAGACATGAAGAAGAGGGACACATGTTGATGAAGAAGAGACATGAAGAAGAGGGGACCATGTTGATGTAGAAGAGACATGAAGAAAGAGGGGACACATGTTGATGTAGAAGGACATGAAGAAGAGGGGACACATGTTGATGTAGAAGAGACATGAAGAAGAGGGGACACATGTTGATGTAGAAGAGACATGAAGAAGAGAGGGGACACATGTTGATGTGAAGAAGAGACATGAAGAAGAGGGGACACATGTTGAGAGAAGAGACATGAAGAAGAGGGGACACATGTTGATGTAGAAGAGACATGAAGAAGAGGGGACACATGTTGATGTAGAAGAGACATGAAGAAGAGGGGACACATGTTGATGTAGGAGGAGATTCAGGTGATAAGGGGGACACATGTTGATGAAGAAGAGACATGAAAAAGAGGGGACACATGTTGATGAAGAAGAGACATGAAGAAGAGGGGACACATGTTGATGTAGAAGAGACATGAAGAAGGGGGGACACAGTTTGTGAAGAGACATGAAGAAGAGGGACACATGTTGATGTAGAAGAGACATGAAGAGAGGGGACACATGTTGATATAGAAAGAGACATGAAGAGAGGGGACACATGTTGATGTAGAAGAGACATGAAGAAGAGGGGGACACATGTTGATGTAGAAGAGACATGAAGAAGAGGGGACACATGTTGATGAAGAAGAGACTGAAGAAGAGGGGACACATGTTGATGTAGAAGAGACATGAAGAAGAGGGGACACATGTTGATGAGAAGAGACATGAGAGAGGGACACATGTTGATGAAGAAGAGACATGAAGAAGAGGGACACATGTTGATGTAGAAGAGACATGAAGAAGAGGGGACACCATGTTGATGTAGAAGAGACATGAAGAAGAGGGGACACATGTTGAGTAGAAGAGACTGAAGAAGAGGGAGCCACATGTTGATGAAGAAGAGACATGAAGAAGAGGGGACCAATGTTGATGAGAACAGACATGAAGAAGAGGGGACACATGTTGATGAAGAAGAAGAGGGGACACATGTTGATGTAGAAGAGGACATGAAGAAGAGGGGACACATGTTGATGAAGAAGAGACATGAAGAAGAGGGGACACATGTTGATGTAGAAGAGACATGAAGAAGAGGGGACAGATGTTGATGTAGAAGAGGACATGAAGAGAGGGACACATGTTGATGAAAGAAGAGACATGAAGAAGAGGGGACACATGTTGATGTAGAAGAGACATGAAGAAGAGGGGACACATGTTGATGAAGAAGAGACATGAAGAAGAGGGGACACATGTTGATGTAGAAGAGACATGAAGAAGAGGGGACCACATGTTGATGAAGAAGAGACAGGAAGAAGAGGGGACACATGTTGATGTAGAAGAGACATGAAGAAGAGGGGACATATGTTGATGTAGAAGAGACATGAAGAAGAGGGGACACATGTTGATGTAGAAGAGACATGAAGAAGAGGGGACACATGTTGATGAAGAAGAGACATGAAGAAGAGGGGACACATGTTGATGTAGAAGAGACATGAAGAAGAGGGGACATATGTTGATGTAGAAGAGACATGAAGAAGAGGGGACACATGTTGATGAAGAAGAGACATGAAGAAGAGGGGACACATGTTGATGAAGAAGAGACATGAAGAAGAGGGGACACATGGTGATGTAGAAGAGACATGAAGAAGAGGGGACACATGTTGATGAAGAAGAGACATGAAGAAGAGGGGACACATGTTGATGTAGAAGAGACATGAAGAAGAGGGGACACATGTTGATGAAGAAGAGACATGAAGAAGAGGGGACACATGTTGATGTAGAAGAGACATGAAGAAGAGGGGACACATGTTGATGAAGAAGAGACATGAAGAAGAGGGGACACATGTTGATGAAGAACAGACATGAAGAAGAGGGGACACATGGTGATGTAGAAGAGACATGAAGAAGAGGGGACACATGTTGATGAAGAAGAGGGGACACATGTTGATGTAGAAGAGACATGAAGAAGAGGGGACACATGTTGATGAAGAAGAGACATGAAGAAGAGGGGACACATGTTGATGAAGAAGAGACATGAAGAAGAGGGGACACATGTTGATGAAGAAGAGACATGAAGAAGAGGGGACACATGTTGATGTAGAAGAGACATGAAGAAGAGGGGACACATGTTGATGTAGAAGAGACATGAAGAAGAGGGGACACATGTTGATGAAGAAGAGACATGAAGAAGAGGGGACACATGTTGATGTAGAAGAGACATGAAGAAGAGGGGACACATGTTGATGAAGAAGAGACATGAAGAAGAGGGGGACACATGTTGATGAAGAAGAGACATGAAGAAGAGGGGACACATGTTGATGTAGAAGAGACATGAAGAAGAGGGGACACATGTTGATGAAGAAGAGACATGAAGAAGAGGGGACACATGTTGATGTAGAAGAGACATGAAGAAGAGGGGACACATGTTGATGAAGAAGAGACATGAAGAAGAGGGGACACATGTTGATGTCGAAGAGACATGAAGAAGAGGGGACACATGTTGATGAAGAAGAGACATGAGGAAGAGGAGACACATGTTGATGTAGAAGAGACATGAAGAAGAGGGGACACATGTTGATGTAGAAGAGACATGAAGAAGAGGGGACACATGTTGATGAAGAAGAGACATGAAGAAGAGGAGACACATGTTGATGTAGAAGAGACATGAAGAAGAGGGGACACATGTTGATGAAGAAGAGACGTGAAGAAGAGGGGACACATGTTGATGAAGAAGAGACGTGAAGAAGAGGGGACACATGTTGATGAAGAAGAGACATGAAGAAGAGGGGACACATGTTGATGAAGAAGAGACATGAAGAAGAGGGGACACATGTTGATGTCGAAGAGACATGAAGAAGAGGGGACACATGTTGATGAAGAAGAGACATGAAGAAGAGGGGACACATGTTGATGTAGAAGAGACATGAAGAAGAGGGGACACATGTTGATGAAGAAGAGACATGAAGAAGAGGGGACACATGTTGATGTAGAAGAGACATGAAGAAGAGGGGACACATGTTGATGAAGAAGAGACATGAAGAAGAGGGGACACATGTTGATGAAGAAGAGACATGAAGAAGAGGGGACACATGTTGATGTAGAAGAGACATGAAGAAGAGGGGACACATGTTGATGTAGAAGAGACATGAAGAAGAGGGGACACATGTTGATGTAGAAGAGACATGAAGAAGAGGGGACACATGTTGATGAAGAAGAGACATGAAGAAGAGGGGACACATGTTGATGAAGAACAGACATGAAGAAGAGGGGACACATGGTGATGTAGAAGAGACATGAAGAAGAGGGGACACATGTTGATGAAGAAGAGGGGACACATGTTGATGTAGAAGAGACATGAAGAAGAGGGGACACATGTTGATGAAGAAGAGACATGAAGAAGAGGGGACACATGTTGATGAAGAAGAGACATGAAGAAGAGGGGACACATGTTGATGAAGAAGAGACATGAAGAAGAGGGGACACATGTTGATGTAGAAGAGACATGAAGAAGAGGGGACACATGTTGATGTAGAAGAGACATGAAGAAGAGGGGACACATGTTGATGAAGAAGAGACATGAAGAAGAGGGGACACATGTTGATGTAGAAGAGACATGAAGAAGAGGGGACACATGTTGATGAAGAAGAGACATGAAGAAGAGGGACACATGTTGATGAAGAAGAGACATGAAGAAGAGGGGACACATGTTTGATGTAGAAGAGACATGAAGAAGAGGGGACACATGTTGATGAAGAAGAGACATGAAGAAGAGGGGACACATGTTGATGAAGAAGAGCCATTGAAGAAGAGGGGACACATGTTGATGTAGAAGAGACATGAAGAAGAGGGGGACACATGTTGATGAAGAAGAGACGTGAAGAAGAGGGGACACATGTTGATGTAGAAGAGACATGAAGAAGAGGGGACACATGTTGATGAAGAAGAGACGTGAAGAAGAGGGGACACATGTTGATGTAAGAAGAGACATGACGAAGAGGGGACAACATGTTGATGAAGAAGAGACATGAAGAAGAGGGGAACATGTGATGTAGAAGAGACATGAAGAAGAGGGGACACATGTTGATGAAGAAGAGACATGAAGAAGAGGGGACACATGTTGATTGTATGAAGGACATGAAGAAGAGGGGACACATGTTGATGAAGAAGAGACATGAAGAAGAGGGGACACATGTTGATGTAGAAGAGACATGAAGAAGAGGGGACACATGTTGATGAAGAAGAGACATGAAGAAGAGGGGACACATGTTGATGAAGAAGAGACGTGAAGAAGAGGGGACACATGTTGATGAAGAAGAGACGTGAAGAAGAGGGGACACATGTTGATGAAGAAGAGACATGAAGAAGAGGGGACACATGTTGATGTAGAAGAGACATGAAGAAGAGGGGACACATGTTGATGAAGAAGAGAACATGAAGAAGAGGGGACACATGTTGATGAAGAAGAGACATGAAGAAGAGGGGACACATGTTGATGAAGAGAGGACATGAAGAAGAGGGGACACATGTTGATGTAGAAGAGACATGAAGAAGAGGGGACACATGTTGATGAAGAAGAGACATGAAGAAGAGGGGACACTGTTGATGTAGAAGAGACATGAAGAAGAGGGGACACATGTTGATGAAGAAGAGACATGAAGAAGAGGGGACACATGTTGATGAAGAAGAGACATGGAGAAGAGGGGACACATGTTGATGAAGAAGAGACATGAAGAAGAGGGGACACATGTTGATGAAGAAGAGACATGAAGAAGAGAGGACACATGGTGATGTAGAAGAGACATGAAGAAGAGGGGACACATGTTGATGAAGAAGAGACATGAAGAAGTGGGTTTTGCATAATAGGTGACCTTTCATAATAACTGGTCGTTAGCGTTAGACAGCAGGTGTGTGGCCTCACCTGTCCTGGCCTCCCCTTCCTCGGGGTAGCGGTGTTTGTCGTAGTAAATGTGGGGGGGTTTGGGAGGAGGTTGACTCTCCGTGGACGATTGTCTCTCCAGGCTCTCAGCTCTTCTGTCCAGATGTTTGTTCGAAGACGAATCCTCCTGAGCGTCTGCTAACTTCTCCAAACTCAGGTTGACTGAAGAGGCTCTTCTGAAAAACAAAAGTTAGTCTATAAGAAATTCTGTACGAAGAGTTCTTTAAGGAGTTTCCTTGGACCCAAAACGTTTTAGCTAGGGAGGTAACGTTATCTAAAACACCTCAGTTCTGTTCTTGTTCCGTTCTGCTTGGTTCAACTTGTGATTAAAATGCGAACCAGTTTGTTTTTCCACGGCACAGAGCCTCAGGAGCCACGTCAGTACGCCACCGTTTAATATTCTCAGCAACAAAGGCGTAAATATCAGTCGCAAAAACAACAATGGCAGATAGCATCGGCTGCTCTAGTCACTTTGCAATCACACTGATCTGTGTTTGAAAAATCTCACTCGTCACTGGCTTGATCTTCAATCACAGGATCCATGTATCTGTGATCCTCTCCAGAATGGAAGTAGTCATCACATACAGAGCATCAACTAGTTCCTGAACAGTGTCCTTCACATGCTGATATCCAAGAGAGGGAGTTACACAGTCACAAGATGGAGGAATAGAAAGCAGTACATCCTGTCATCTACAAAATATCGACTTTTTCTCAAAATCCTGAATTTTTCTGAAAATTCTGACTTTTTCTCAAAATGTTTCTTAAAATCTCAAATTCTGACTTTTTTTTAAAAAAATGTTGAAATTCTGACTTTTTTTAAAAATGTCGAAATTCTGACTTTTTGTAAAAATTCTGACTTTTTCCTCAAAATCCTGACTTTTTCTGAAAATCCTGAATTTTTCTGAAAATTCTGACTTTTTCTCAAAATGTTTCTTAAAATCTCAAATTCTGACTTTTTCTCGAAATTCTGACTTTTTGTAAAAATTCTGACTTTTTCCTCAAAATCCTGACTTTTCCTCAAAATCTGGAAGTAGTCATCACATACAGAGCATCAAGTAGTTCCTGAACAGTGTCCTTCACATGCTGATATCCAAGAGAGGGAGTTACACAGTCACAAGATGGAGGAATAGAAAGCAGTATTCAATGTTTACTTCAGATTGCCACTGCAGTGTGAACGCGAAAAACTGCAATCGAGCACTGATGCGACTTAAACAGTGACGTCATGATGCGTCTCCTCTCAGTCTCTCTTTGATGGAAAAGCTAACTTTTTGTTAAGTGATTCACAAGTTGAACCAATTAGCCACGTCTCTCTGGAGAAGAGTATAACGTTAGACGACTGTGGCTTTGAGGAAGTGCTTTCATCTTTCAATCTGAAGGTTGTGGGTTCAATCAAGCAGGAGAGGACTCTTTAAAGTAGAGACACTACATACTGATATACACCTGAACATCAGCAGGAGAGGACTCTTTAAAGTAGAGACACTACATACTGATATACACCTGAACATCAGCAGGAGAGGACTCTTTAAAGTAGAGACACTACATACTGATATACACCTGAACATCAGCAGGAGAGGACTCTTTAAAGTAGAGACACTACATACTGATATACACCTGAACATCAGCAGGAGAGGACTCTTTAAAGTAGAGACACTACATACTGATATACACCTGAACATCAGCAGGAGAGGACTCTTTAAAGTAGAGACACTACATACTGATATACACCTGAACATCAGCAGGAGAGGACTCTTTAAAGTAGAGACACTACATACTGATATACACCTGAACATCAGCAGGAGAGGACTCTTTAAAGTAGAGACACTACATACTGATATACACCTGAACATCAGCAGGAGAGGACTCTTTAAAGTAGAGACACTACATACTGATATACACCTGAACATCAGCAGGAGAGGACTCTTTAAAGTAGAGACACTACATACTGATATACACCTGAACATCAGCAGGAGAGGACTCTTTAAAGTAGAGACACTACATACTGATATACACCTGAACATCAGCAGGAGAGGACTCTTTAAAGTAGAGACACTACATACTGATATACACCTGAACATCAGCAGGAGAGGACTCTTTAAAGTAGAGACACTACATACTGATATACACCTGAACATCAGCAGGAGAGGACTCTTTAAAGTAGAGACACTACATACTGATATACACCTGAACATCAGCAGGAGAGGACTCTTTAAAGTAGAGACACTACATACTGATATACACCTGAACATCAGCAGGAGAGGACTCTTTAAAGTAGAGACACTACATACTGATATACACCTGAACATCAGCAGGAGAGGACTCTTTAAAGTAGAGACAGTGATTTCTTAAGTGATTCCATGTTGAACCAATTAGCCACGTCTCTCTGGAGAAGAGTATAAAGTTAGACGACTGTGGCTGTGAGGAAGTGCAGTCGTCTTTCAATCCGAAGGTTGTGGGTTCAATCCCAAGTCGATTTATCCCCAAATACTTAACCTCTACTTAATGACGGTGTCTGAATATCAGCTTCCATGAACAAGTGGCACCTTGCATGGCAGCCCTGGCCTCTGTATGAATTGAAGTCAGGATAAAGTGCTTTATAAATGCAGTCCATTTACCGTTAGTCCTTCTTGCAAATCAATCTAGCTTTGTACGTTTAATGGCATTACTGTGCCTAATCTATATAATCACAAGTTATACCAACTGCGATCCAAGCTAGTTTCGGCAGAGCTAGAACAAAAAAGGGGAAATGAGTTGGACTTATTAGCTTACACTAGAAAAACTCTAGATCTTGCCCAGTATCTGTGTCTAACATCTAATCAGAACATGTCTCTCCTCCTGATATCAGACATAATAACTTCAGAAGTAACACTGCAGTGAGATATAGGCTCTTGTGTTTAGACAATGCATCATCTTGTTAAGTCAAATGATCTTATTTTGAGTTGTATCTCAGATGAAACACATATTTATTTACATATTTATTAGAAAATCACCAACTAACATCAGAACACAGAAAACCTTTGAGCGTTTGCAGATTATTCTGTAACACAACATCTCCTGATTCTGGTGAAATATAGTTCAAAATGAGTTCTCTTGATAATTACAAGATGTGATTTATCTAAATATCCCTTCTTATTTCAAGAAATCTTAGCAAGCGACATTTCACTTGTTTTATTGGCAGATTTTTGGACTTATTTCAAGTGAAAACAGCTTGTTTTCATTATTGTTTAACTTGATTTTTGAGCAGCATTATTTCCAGTGTAACAAACGGTTTCAATGCTCCTAACTCCTGCTAAAACTCCCCTGCAGAAGTCAGATTATGAATGTATTTTAAGGTTTCTTTAGTCATGTTGCCCGTGCAGTATTTCTCTCTCCATGCTGCAAACTAAACCAGATGCAATTCCTGAAAGCTGGAATGGCACGGCGTGTTTTAACACCATTGTGTGCCCGCTGGATGTAATTCTCCAAGTCAATGTATCTCATTAAAAGGGAAAGAAATCCCTGCTGGCAGCAATGAAAGAATTTCTTTGGCCTCTCACCCACCCGATGTCCCCACAGAGCGAACAGTGTGAACAGGTGAGATGTGAAAGTGAAAGTCAAATTACCTGACGCAGTTTGAAGGAAACCATTTCACTCTGAGACTCCATCAAACACTTCAGACTGACGTGTGATCGGCGTGACTCCAAAACTAGTCACGCCATGCTTTTGTGTCCGTGTTCATTTCAGAAAATAGTTATGAGAAGTGAAATTAATATAAAAAGAGAGTGATTTAATCAAAGCAAGAGTGAAATAATAGACAAAATATTTGATTAATTAAAATACTGAGCAAAATTACATTTGTAGAATCCAAGAAATCAAATACCTAAATTGGCAGTGAAGCTTTGTGGAATAATATAGATATACACCTGAACATCAGCAGGAGAGGACTCTTTAAAGTAGAGACACTACATACTGATATACACCTGAACATCAGCAGGAGAGGACTCTTTAAAGTAGAGACACTACATACTGATATACACCTGAAGATCAGCAGGAGAGGACTCTTTAAAGTAGAGACACTACATACTGATATACACCTGAACATCAGCAGGAGAGGACTCTTTAAAGTAGAGACACTACATACTGATATACACCTGAACATCAGCAGGAGAGGACTCTTTAAAGTAGAGACACTACATACTGATATACACCTGAACATCAGCAGGAGAGGACTCTTTAAAGTAGAAACACTACATACTGATATACACCTGAACATCAGCAGGAGAGGACTCTTTAAAGTAGAGACACTACATACTGATATACACCTGAACATCAGCAGGAGAGGACTCTTTAAAGTAGAGACACTACATACTGATATACACCTGAACATCAGCAGGAGAGGACTCTTTAAAGTAGAGACACTACATACTGATATACACCTGAACATCAGCAGGAGAGGACTCTTTAAAGTAGAGACACTACATACTGATATACACCTGAACATCAGCAGGAGAGGACTCTTTAAAGTAGAGACACTACATACTGATATACACCTGAACATCAGCAGGAGAGGACTCTTTAAAGTAGAGACACTACATACTGATATACACCTGAACATCAGCAGGAGAGGACTCTTTAAAGTAGAGACACTACATACTGATATACACCTGAACATCAGCAGGAGAGGACTCTTTAAAGTAGAAACACTACATACTGATATACACCTGAACATCAGCAGGAGAGGACTCTTTAAAGTAGAGACACTACATACTGATATACACCTGAACATCAGCAGGAGAGGACTCTTTAAAGTAGAGACACTACATACTGATATACACCTGAACATCAGCAGGAGAGGACTCTTTAAAGTAGAGACACTACATACTGATATACACCTGAACATCAGCAGGAGAGGACTCTTTAAAGTAGAGACACTACATACTGATATACACCTGAACATCAGCAGGAGAGGACTCTTTAAAGTAGAGACACTACATACTGATATACACCTGAACATCAGCAGCAGAGGACTCTTTAAAGTAGAGACACTACATACTGATATACACCTGAACATCAGCAGGAGAGGACTCTTTAAAGCATGTTTAGTTTACTTGATTGATTGTGTAAATGAAACGCCACATTATGTTTAACATTAAACGTTTTTCAAGGCGTATTTTTGTGTCGACAAAGAGCAGCAATGAAATGAACGTATTATATCTCCTTCTACTCTTTTAAATATGACATAACATCCAACCTGTACGAGGACATGAACTCCGCACTAATGTACTTATACAAATGTTAGTTATGTAATTACTCAAAGCATGATATAATACCACTAAGCACTAATTAGAATTATTACCTGTGTGCCTTTGATGAATGAAGGAGTTACATAAGTAGTTAAATCAGCCCTAGCTCAAGGTGAAACATTTTCCAATTGGGAAAACAAAAGTACAGTGTGTGTGTGTGTGTGTGTGTGTGTGTGTGTCTGTGTCTGTGTGTGTGTGTGTGTGTGTGTGTGTGTGTGTGTGTTTACCCTGAGTCATCAGAGTCACTGTTGCCAGACTCTGGACAGTTTTGCAGCTTCTTCACCCAGAGCAGCATCAGATCTCTGCTCGACGCTGCAAACAGGAACTGACTGCCGTCCTCCAGACTGAAACACACACACACACACACACACACACACACACACACACACACACACACACACACCACACACACACACACACACACACACACACACACACACACACACACACACACACACACACACACACACACACACACACACACGTTTTTTTCAACACTTTTAATCAAGTTGTATGTGTAAATATATATGAATTGGTCTGAATGAGAGGTGTGTTTTAAATGATGCAGCAGTAACTGTACTTTAGATAATGGATAGAATACTGCAGCTATCTAATTAACGTTGTAATCAAGTTGTATGTATATAGCTTAATAAGAAGAAACCTTTACATTTTGTACAGCTGAACAACAGAGTGAAAGAAACACAATGAAATGCCTCCACATGCAGTTGACAAAATGGTTATTTCAATGTAAAATACAGATAAAATAAAGTACAATAAAGGGATGAATAGCTATATAAAACATGTTTGAATAATTACCTTTTTGTAAATTGAACAAATGCAAAAAAACAACAATCTTTTCCCGCCGCTGACTCACATGAGTTTGAAGGTGTTCTCCTTCCTCCGGTAGTAAGTGTTCTCCCTGCAAACGCCTCCATTCATGTTGATAGGAGGCCACCTAGAGGCCATCTGTGGAAACACACCTCAGGGTTTCATTCATGACAACATGAAAAGTGTGACCTCCTTTATCTGACTGTTGTTAAACCATTTTATTGTGATTGTAGTAATGTGTTTTTATTACATGTACAGCACTTTGGCTCGACCACTAAAACTTGATTTGATTTGATTTGATTTGATTTCTGGAGAAACAAGTTATTGAATTGAATGCTCTCCTTTTCAGTTTTTCTCTCTGTTTTACATCCATAGTTTAATAGAATAGAATATGTCTTTATTGTCATCATATAAAGTACAACGAAATGTATTTGGCAACTCTCACTGCAGTAAAAAATAGACACAATAATAAATAAGAGTGGTAAAAGCAGAGGTAGCAGCGATGACAGCGCAACGAGATCACATTCAGTGTCAATGTGCATGTTTACACTTACAGTCTAAATATATATTAGTAAAGTAGCCATAAGTATGTCTAAATAAATAGTAGTGCTTGCAGTTTTTGAAGGGTGGAGTTAGGGCTGTGCGATTATGGCAAAAATCATAATCACGATTATTTGGGTCAATAATTGATATCACGATTATTAAATACGATTATTCATTGACTTTGAAAAAATCCATTTATTGAACTTTAAAACAAATACAAATAATAATTTGAACAGTATCTTTTTAACTGTTGATTACCCTGAACGTATAATTCAACTGAAAAACCAATACAAAAATAAATAAAATAAATGATACATTTAAATAAATAATATCAAAATAATAAACACCAAAAAACAAGATCAACAAATATTTTGGAGCGCACTTCAACAAGCTACTAAACATATATAAATATGATAAATACAAATAAATGAGACCAAATTGTTTTTTTTCGATTATGTTGTTTTCGTAATTGTGGCAGGCCAAAATCGTAATTGCGATTAAAATACGATTAATTGCACAGCCCTAGGTGGAGTTGTGTGTGTGTGTGTGTGTGTGTGTGTGTGTGTGTGTGTGTGTGTGTGTGTGTGTGTGTGTGTGTGTGTGTGTGTGTGTGTGTGTGTGTGTGTGTGTGTGTGTGTGTGTGTGTGTTGTAATGTGCTCTGAGGTTAACCACATGCACATGCATTATAGTACACACACAGTTTTACACTCTATACAGTTTTTACAGGTCCAGGGTATATGCAGGAATCCTGAAGTCACATGTAAAACCTTTTAAGACCTTTTTTAAGACCCTTTCCATACATTTAAAGACCTCATCTCCACTTTGAGTTTTAACCGGTTACCTTGGCGACACACTTTACCTCACATTGACTACATACAGTATTGATTGTCCTTCCTCCTTATCTTCCAACCATTTGGACGCAGACTTGCATTTCCCCATAACCATGTTGTTTAACAACCGGCGTAAACGGAGCTTCGCGCGCTATCAAGCAGTGAGCGTGTGATGTCCTGTTCTGATGACGTCTAACTCAACGGGATGCCATCAATAAACTACACAGAATCACACTACACACCTACGCAATGATTACATTCAGGCAAACTGTAGAATACAACCTCTTTGGACAATTCATATACTTATTGAAAACAACCTACAAAATGTAATATCTTGGAAAATGTAAGACTTTTTAATACTTTTTAATACTTTTTAAGACCCCGCGGACCCCCTGAGGTAGGGTGCTCACATGCATCTAGAGAGGGAAGCAGGTGTGGGTTTCTAATGCTTTTAATCCACCTTTTATTTGTTTGTTTAAATGTTTTTATTGCGTTGAGAGAAGTCTACGAAATGTCATTATAACATAAGAAAAATGACAATAAAGAGTTTGTAAAAATAACTAAAAAGTATGTACTTTTTATTAATTTGAGATCATCTTCATGGCACAGACATACAGACACACTTTAAACAATAGTAAACGTACCTCTGCAGCAGCGGCTCTGTCGTTGAACAGACTCAGCGTCTCTTCTTCCAGAACAGCAAACACTTCCTCCCAGTGATCCAGACCCTGCGGAACAACAGCCAATCAGAGGGAGAGAAAACTCACCTGTCACACACAAGGCCACTTAAGGTATGTAGGTACAAAATCAGGGAAAAATTAGGATAGGATCCATTCAGAAAATCTAATTATTAGGTTGTCTTTTTGACCAATTGCTTTTTCTCACTGTATGGACCAGAGCAATATCCAAATAGTGGTAAACTCAATATTAGGCAAAAAACTAAGAATTAAGTCTTTGGACTTCCTAATAAATGCCTTTGGGTAAAGATCCTCACACCACAATCATTTAAATATATATTTTATATAATAATCATGTGACTAATGTTTAAAAATGATCTGATATGGCGAATCAGATCATAATTGCAGTCATAATAATTGCAATTAGTTATTTTTCCCAAATCGTGCAGCCCTAATTAGTGTATTGTATAATATTATTGCCATGTCATCATACTGTTTTTATGTGTTTGTAATTAAAAAGTAAATAGAATATCAAACCATCACACTTTGCAAAGAGACAGCCACTGTTTCAGTCTAAACACACCTGTCTGACGTCAGAAGCTTCTCACCTTGTTTCCTCCTTGTTTCAGTTTGATCTCCAGCATTCCCTCCATTCTGATTGGCCGCTCTGCCGTCACCTAGCAACACCACAGTTGTGAGAGGAGTGTCGACCAATCAGCTTTCCATATCAATATGCCAGTTAATGATTAAAGTCTTACCTCCTGTGTGGAGCCGTGTTCCTCCTCTGGTAGATCCTCTAACTTCCTCTGACGTTGTGGAGGAGACGGAGGAAGCTCTCTCATTGGAGGTGAGAGGTCAGCTGATTCGGTTTCCTCCTCTGTGATTGGTTGAGGAGTCTGGGAGTCAGGTGGAGTTGCACTAGACGGAGAATCAGGAGGATCTGGCTCACTTTGGAGCTCTTTCCTCGTTGGAGATGGTGACGAATCAGGGGAAGAAGGTGTTTCTGCGACTGGAGGAGGAGGAGGAGGTGGAGGTTGAGTTGGAGCAACAAGCCCTCTGATTGGTGGAGGCGAGTCAGGTGGCATAGCAAGCTTATTCGAGGGAAGTCCAAATGTCCGCTCTTCAGAGGAGATCCTGGGCTTTGGAGCCAGAGGAGGTTTGAAACTGTTACTACGTTCTTCCTCGGGAGATGAGGAAGAGACAGAGCTTTGAGGGGAGGAGGGAGAAGGAGGTTTTGGAGAAGAGGAGTCAGGTGATTGGCTGCTCCGACTCCTCCATGTCCTTACAGTCGGAGTTGGAGGAGGAGCTTCTTCTTCCTCCACCTCCCATGTCCTCCTGCTGGAGTATCTCCTGGTGTCACGGTGGGGAGGAGGACTGGGTGGAGGACTAGCAGAGCTTTTGACGCTGTTTTTTTTGTCTTGAATCGGAGATCTGATGTTTCTGTCCGTCTTCCTGCTGCTGCTGACTCGCCGCACGATGTCTCTGGAGGTCAGAGGAGTCTTTGGATCGGACGGTTTACTCCTCAGAGACGAAACTCTGGCTGCAGGTTTTCTGTCCTCAAGGTCCGTGTTCTCGTTTCCATAAAGTCTCTTCTCCCTCTGAGGAGAAAGGGGACATTTAAAGGTCTCAGATATATAAAAAACATGTCTATGAAGTGTTTTGATCAAAATACCAAACAGATTCTAGCCATGCCAGAGCATTTTACATTAGAGCATAAAAACAATCCAAAACAAGAATGTATAATTGTATTTCACAGAGCAGACGCCTTACTATATTTGGCCTGTATTACATTTGAAAACAAACCAAAACATACTTATAGCACTTTGAATTGCCTCTGTGTCTGAAAATGTGCTTTATAAATAAATGTACCTTACCTTATGAGAAAATGTAAAATAGATGTTTGCCTCTCTTAGTTTCAGTTTAAACCAACCCACCTGTGTTTTCTTCTTCTGCAGTGCGATGAAGCGCTCGCTCTGAGCCTGAATCATGGCCTCCAGGTCCTCCTGCCTCTTCAGCAGCTCCATCACATCTGACACAGAGTCCTGGAGGAAAATAAAACAACAGACATGATTCAGTAAATCTGATGGCACGTGTTTTAGGTCTATCACGCTGCCAAAACACACTTATAATATAGTTTACAGTGTCCTTTTGTAGATATTGTTACAGGTATAAATACACGTTTAATATCATTTTTTGGCTGTATTTGAAAAGTATTGACAATTTTTTCTCCAAACTTTCCCTTTGTTATCAATCATTTAATTTAATAATGATGATAATGACACATTTTCCAGTTTGTAAATAACAGCTGTATTATTACACCATAAAAAAACTGGTCTCATTTCCTAGTGTTAAGTAGAACATACCGTATTTTCCTCTAAAAGAAATCGAGTAATTTTGTTATCTAGTAGACACCTCCAAAAATTGGTGACATGCCCTGAACTATGAGTCGATTAGCGCCTATGCTATAAGTATGAGCTAATGTTTGTTTATCCAGAAGTTCTGCTGGAGGGTTTACAGTTTTTGACCACATGGACACACACAACACACACACACACACACACACACACACACACACACACACACACACACACACACACACACACACACACACACACACACACACACACACACACACAACACACACACACACACACACACACACACACACACACACACACACACACACACACACTCTGAGATGATGTCTCGCTCTGTTGTTGCGTTTCTAATGTCATTTTTTGTATGCTGATTGGAAAGCTGATTCAAGTTAATTGGACAACAGTAACAGGCAAAAAAAAAAAGCACATTAAGTGTTAATAATTAAGTCTTTTTTTATATACGATGTACAGTGCGTTCAATACGTAAACAAAGCGGCACTTCAGTGGCTTGAACAGTTGTCTAAGCCTCCATAATGCTCCTTTAATGTTATCCTAGACGTACCCCCGTAGTCCTCGGCCATCAGTGTGTTTTCCATACGAGCTCAGCCATCGCTCCGCCTGCTCCAGCTCTCTCTGCAGGAGACAGATCTCCAGCTCCTCCTCATAAAGGATCCTGGTTTCCTCCCAGACCTTCACTACCTTCTCCTCCAGTTCCTCCAGCTCACAGACTCGCTCCTCCACCTGCGAGGAGGAAGGAAGAAGGGGATGAGGATGGGATTAAAGAGCTGAATCCCAGATCAAATGCACGCTGAAGGCTCTTTGAGCAGCTTTTCTCTCACTGATCCTGCTGTTAGGTTAAATGTTTGTTTTTCATGTATTGTCTTGATATCTGTCTGTTGATGTTACACATGGAGCTGCTGTGACGCAAGAAGCATTTCAGACTTGATCTGACCTGAGCCTGTTTTTCAGGTTTCAGGCTCGAAAATGACATGCCCAGAACAAATGACTATAACTTCACTTCTAAAAGGGTTAAATTAATAATCTTTTTTCTCAAAGCAAGGTTACATCTGTGAGTTGGATGTAGAAGTGTCAGAATCAATATAGATGTTTCTGTGTCAGAGTAAATTCAGATGGAACATTGTAAAAAAAGGTAAATTCTTACCTCCGCCTAAAAAAAAACATTACTTATAGTGAAAACCAGCCTTGGATGATGGGTTAGTAGCCTAAAAGCTTTAGGAATCCAAACTACAACATATAATAAGTACCCTGTATCAAGATTGAGGCAAAACAAGTGACATTTGACCTTTTTAGAGAGGTTTATACAAATAAAAATAATATGAAATCTCCGTTTTTTACATAAAAATGCAATGATGGATTATCAGTAATCCTTTCAAAGTGACACAGACACATTGGATTAACCTATGGAATAATTTATGGATTAACCTATGGATTAACCTTCAGCGGCGTTTTAATCATTCTAATGCCATTGAACACGACTATTGATCAGAATAACAGCTAATTTGAGACGATTTCCCGTGAATGTTCCGTAATTCACGTGTTGTGACGTCTGTGTTTGCTTCCCCTCTCACGAGTTCTGATTGCTCAGTGATGATACTTATACCTATAGAATCTGTGGAATCTCAGCTTTAATTTGATATCTTGTTTTTGCAGTTACGATAAGTAATAAGGGTATTTTTACCTTGAGTTCTGTGCTAAGTGTGTTAGCATTTTTTCGCTCAGGGCTCATTTAGACGCTTCTTGTGAGACTTGTGTTTTGTTTCGGTAAAAATGGTTCGTATCTTCAGTTAGCTGAGTTTCTTCCCGTTAAATGGGTATGACACATTAATAGGTTTTTAAATATTAAGAAGCCCTGAGACACAGTTTCGTGAAAAAACACCCCACTGCCCCCTGTACAGGGGGCTCTAGGGCTTAACAGGTTAAAGTATTATCGTATCGTATACAGAATATCCTCCTTCTCAGATTTAGATATCTTACCTCTGGAGACATGAAGTTCCCTCCCTCTATCAGACGCTTCCCTTCCTCTTTCACAGCCAGTGATTTGCTGAGCTGGCGGTCAATCTGGACGTGATACTCCTCGTGTTTTTTAATAAGATGCTCCAGGTCGTTTCCCTCCACGCTCAACGCCTCGCTTCGAACCAGAGACAACATCTCCCTCAGCCAGGCCCTGAAACACAACACAGACGTCCAGCTTCATCAATACGTCTTTTGTACTTCTTTACTTTACTGTTCTTCTTTGCTTTAACTGCTATCATGTCAGTTTATGTCTTTGGTAGGTCATTATCTAATTTAGCAGTGATGTGATGTACGTTTTTTTGTCTTATTGTCATTGTTTTTGGGGTGTTGCCTTTTTCTGTGTGCTCGTAGGAAATAATAATGTATAAAGACAATGGAAAAACAACCACATACATCTGCATTTGTATCAACACTGAACAGATGATGTGAGGATGACCTACATGAGCTAATATCTATAACGTCTAGAAAGCACATGATGCAAGTTTCTGGAGCAATATCCTTAATTAAAAAAAACACCCAACTAATTTTAAATGGACCAACATGAGCTAACAACTGTCATTTTAAATGTAGCTACATGAGCTAACAACTGTCATTTTAAATTGACCTATATGAGCTAACAACTGTCATTTTAAATGGACCTACATGAGCTAACAACTGTCATTTTAAATGGACCTACATGAGCTAACAACTGTCATTTTAAATGGACCTACATGAGCTAACAACTGTCATTTTAAATGAACCTACATGAGCTAACAACTGTCATTTTAAATGTAGCTACATGAGCTAACAACTGTCATTTTAAATGGACCTACATGAGCTAACAACTGTCATTTTAAATGGACCTACATGAGCTAACAACTGTCATTTTAAATGGACCTACATGAGCTAACAACTGTCATTTTAAATGGACCTACATGAGCTAACAACTGTCATTTTAAATGGACCTATATGAGCTAAACTGTCATTTTAAATGGACCTATATGAGCTAACAACTGTCATTTTAAATGGACCTACATGAGCTAACAACTGTCATTTTAAATGGACCTACATGAGCTAACAACTAGTCATTTTAAATTGGAGCTACATGAGCTAACAACTGTCATTTTAAATGTAGCTACATGAGCTAACAACTGTCATTTTAAATGGACCTACATGAGCTAACAACTGTCATTTTAAATGTAGCTACATGAGCTAACAACTGTCATTTTAAATGGAGCTACATGAGCTAACAACTGTCATTTTAAATGGATATACATGAGCTAACAACTGTCATTTTAAATGTAGCTACATGAGCTAACAACTGTCATTTTAATGTAAGCTACATGAGCTAACAACTGTCATTTAAATGGGATATACATGAGCTAACAACTGTCATTTTAAATGTAGCTACATGAGCTAACAACTGTCATTTTAAATGGAGCTACATGAGCTAACAACTGTCATTTTAAATGGACGCTACATGAGCTAACAACTGTCATTTTAAATGGACCTACATGAGCTAACAACTGTCATTTTAAATGGAGCCTACATGAGCTAACACTGTCATTTTACAATGGACCTACAAGAGCTAACAACTGTCATTTTAAATGTAGCTACATGAGCTAACAACTGTCATTTTAAATGTAGCTACATGAGCTAACAACTGTCATTTTAAATGGACCTACATGAGCTAACAACTGTCATTTTAAATGGATATACATGAGCTAACAACTGTCATTTTAAATGTAGCTACATGAGCTAACAACTGTCATTTTAAATGGACCTACATGAGCTAACAACTGTCATTTTAAATGGAGCTACATGAGCTAACAACTGTCATTTTAAATGGACCTACATGAGCTAACAACTGTCATTTTAAATGGACCTACATGAGCTAACAACTGTCATTTTAAATGGACCTACATGAGCTCGCTGCAGAGGGATAAGTATTTCTGAACATCTTCAGCCTGGCCCAGTCTGGCTCTTCGTTGGGAGGCTTTCTCCTGGACGTTTCTCCAGAAAACCTCCAGTTCCTCCAGCCTCTGAGTCACAGCGGATCGGACCGGAGGCTGCCGGCGGCTCAGAGCCCGACCTTCATCTTTACTCTTCTTCACCTCCTCTGAGATCAGAGCCAGGTCCCTCTGATGGCACAAACAACAACAACAACAAGGCAGGTTAACTGATGTCGTTAACCAGCAACATGATTTATAATAGCCCTCACTGCTACACAAACCTTTACACAAATCTGGGTACAGTAATTCAATTTTCTGCTACTTTGTACTTAATTCTTACTGGGTTTAATGAGTACTTTTGTTTGTGGTATTTTGAGAATGCATTATTGCTCGTACTTGAAAACCTTTACTTCAGCGATAATTTGAATGCATTCACTATAAATTGTAACTTATGATAAATAAGATTAACAATCCACAATACAATTTACTATAACTTTAAATAATCATTTTCAAGATAAACCAAAAACACAATCGTAGATCGTTTTTTTTATTCTAGAATAATTCAATATTAAGTCAATATTGGACTCATTACATTAGAACAGACTCAATATATGTTGCTGATCCCAAATTGGAACATATACTTGAGAAAAGCTGATGAAAATAACATTACGATCATCAACAACCTTTCTAACAACTATTCAGACACTTTGGTCCCTTTACATATGGAGTTTTTCTTGTGAGTTTTAAATGTTTCAGCCTATAACGTTCTCACCTCCAGCGCCTCGTGCTGCCTCAGCAGAGTCTGGATGGAGTGCAGGTCGTGCTCCTGATCCTCCGCCTCCAGCACCGCCTCTTTCTCCGCCATCCAGCCCTTCAGCTCGTCCACGTCGTGATTAAACTGATGAACTTCCCGCGCTGCCTGCAGACTCTGGAGGACACGGGACACAACACAATACAATAAAACACAATACAATACAATACAAAGGGGCTTTATTGGCATGACCACATTTTAAACATAGTATTGCCAAAGCATTCCGCACAATACTGCTATATTTTATTTGACTATATATATATTATTCTTTTTATGTTATTATAATTTTCCTAAAATATTTCTCTATCTGTGTTTTTAAGTCAAATTCCTCGTACATGTCAACCTACCTGGTGATAAACCTGTTTCTGATTCTGACAAGCGTTATAACTAGCAGGGTTCATACACTTTTTCACCAATGATTTTCAATGACTTCTCCAGGACCTTTACCTAATTTTCCATAACCAAAAAAATTACTCTTTCTCAGCGGTACCACTGAAAATGGTTTATTTGAACATGGAACAGGAAAATAAGGTCTGCATATGAAACATGTTGCGCCTATCATCTAAAACATACTTAGCTTCTACACGCTAAAGCAACTCAAATCTCTCACCAGCAAAATACCTTGACAGTTAAATGCCATTTTACGTTTCATTACTATACAGTATTTATTATCATTATAGTATTACTATTTCGGCGATTAGATAAAATATAAATGATATTTGATGCAACTTTGGTTACATTTCCATGACTTTTCCAAAACTTTGGGAAAAATATTGTTTTCCATAACTTTTCCAGGGCCTGGAATTAGCATTTTGAATTTCCATGACTTTTCCAGGTTTTTAATGACCGTAAGAACCCTGAACTAGGGATGGGTATCGTTAAGGTTTTAACGGTACTACTACTTTTATCAATACCACTTATCGATCCGGTCCTTTAACGGTACTCTTATCGGTTCTTCTGAAGAAGAAAAAAAGGTTAATTAATTAAACAAATTGTAAATAATGTGAACTTACAGAACTGTAAAAAACAAACAAAAAACAAGTATTTACTGCAAAAATACAGTGGTAGAGCAACCCAGGTGGGGCAGACAGGTATGCTACAAAAGGCCTATCGGTTGTTCTGGAGGAGATTGAGGTACACATACTGTATCATACCTGACGTGGAAACGTTACTCGTGGATGGGGCTACAGCGCTACTAGAAAGACAGTCGAAAACGGTGCATTTCTCCGTCTGAATGTGGTGCACTTTTGCTAAATGTTTAGACAAATTGCTCGTGTTACCGCTTACATGCTAAATTCTTATTGCACTTTTGGCAACGAGCATTGTCCACATCAAGACGGGTAACATTTAACCACACCTTACACACTAAACATAAATGTCAACAATACATGTGGCACAACAGCATAACACAACAGCATACTGTAAGTACACACTGTTAGCCCCTCTTTCCTCCCACAGGTATCAGATGTTTGTGAACTCTGAGATGTTTCTTACCTGCTCTCTGGCCCTGATGCTGCTGTTAAGCTCCTCCCACAGATCGCTGAGGGCGTCGTCTCTCCTCCGGGCCGAGCTGTCCGTCTGAAGGCCTCGACTCAGCTGCTGCACCGAGGTCAGCCGAGTCCGACCCAGACCCGACGTCTCCGACACCAGAACCTCCAACTTCTTCTGAAGCACCTGCAGGACGAGGGAGGAGAAGAGAGTTTAAAACAATGAATCAAATATGATGACGATGACCTAAACTTTTATTTTCATGAACAATGTACGCTAGAGGGAGACCAGAACAGTTTTAAGCTTCTTCTTGCCCCTTTTTAACATGACGAAAACAATGAGATTTTTTTCTCAAACACTCGCAGATATTACCCCCCATTCATTTAGTTTTTTGTTCAGCATGGAAACATTCATTAGCTAACAATTACATTATTGTTCTATTAATATAAAGGGAGGTCAGGTACTCTTTAAAACAGCTGCTAGTTATGGGTACTTGTTACTTAAAGGTAGGGTAGGTAAGAATGGAGAAACCAGCTCGAGTGCGCTAGAATTTGAAAGTACGCAGCCGAAAGAAATCTGCCCCTTCCTTCAGACTTCCTCACAGAGCCCCTCCTCCAACACACACGAACGCGCACATGACCAATGAGGGCACCAGATAAGTTTGTGCACAGATGGAAGGCTGACAGGCAGGTAGGCCATCCAGTCATTTTAGCCGGGCCGGCTCAGATGATTGGTCGTGCTTTTCACAGCGCCACGGCTTCCACAGATGAAATGTTTTTATGTATTTATTGTCAAAGCATTTAATATATTAATTGCTATCGGGATGTTAAGAGCATTCCATGGAATATAACAAGTGTTTCTGAAGTGAATCACCTACCCCACCTTTAAGTACATTTCGAAGCCCATACTTCTTTACTTTTACTTGAGTAAAGAAGTTTAGTCAGTACTTCTACTTTTACGTGAGACTCACCTCCACGTCCTCCAGATCTTGTCCGCAGTCTTTGGACTCCACCACCGTCTTCTTGGATGTCAGCCATGTTTGAAGTTCTTTGGCTTCTCTCTCGAACACGTAGAGGCGGAGCTGGTCTTCCAGAGCGGAGCGACGAGAAGTTGAGAGTCGGAGGAGAGTCTCAAAGCGTTCAGCAACACCTGGGAGAGCCTCACTGACCAGAGGACTGAGACAGACACACTTTTTAATTCATTTTGAACATACTAGTTTAATTATTACCCCGCTGTCTCTCCCTGCAACACATTACAAACTCCTTGAGAAACTCCTCGTAATTGCTCGGAAGTGTATTTTGCCCAGATGGATAAAAGACACCCCTCCTGATGTTACCCTTGGGTATAGGGAGACTTGTAACACTCTCCCATGAAAGACTGTGTCTGTGTTGTGCATTGTTCTTTATGTGTGTGTTAGAAAAATCTCCCTGGTCCCCGGCTTGATATAATCAGGATCCATGTATCTGTGATCCTCTCCAGAATGGAAGTAGTCATCACATACAGAGCATCAACTAGTTCCTGAACAGTGTCCTTCACATGCAGATATCCAAGAGAGGGAGTTACACAGTCACAAGATGGAGGAATAGAAAGCAGTATTCAATGTTTACTTCAGATTAGCTCCACGTCAGAAATGAGCATGCTTGTCATATGTCTATCTCCATAGAGGCTGAATCATCATGTTAATCACATAGCTATCATATGCCTCAAACAGTCCTGATGCTCTTCTAGGTAATCATACATCCTGTCATGTTCACAGCTACAGTTGGGATACCTTTGTTATCATTACATTACGTTACATGTTACTTGTTAGACGCTTTTATCCAAAGCGACTTACATACTCAATACTGTGGACAATCCCCACAGGAGCAATTTGGGGTGAAGTGTCTCAGGGACACAACGACATGCTGACTGCAGTGGGGTTTGAACCTGTGACCCCCTGATCCGAACACCAACGCTCAACCCACTGCACCACACGCCTCCGGCGTACATCATGTGTACTCTCATATTGGAAGAGTACATTCACTATTTTCCTAACACTGAAACTCAATAAAGAGTATTAATGTGTGCGTTTACCTGTTGGGATGTCCGAGGTGCTGCAGCGACGCTCCGCTCTCCTGCAGCTTCTCCACCGTCCTCCTCTGGTTCTCCAGCTCTACGTCCACAGAGTCCAGCTTCCTCAAAAGAGTCTCTGTCGCCTCTTCGCTCCTCCCACTCTCCCGAGACTCCAGACTCACCTGCTGCTCCTCCAGCCACAGCTCCAACTCCGACACCTAAAAAACCACACACACATACACACGTTTATACATCAAAACCAAATCAAATCAACATTTATTATAGCCCCAAATCACAAGAAATGCCTCAAAGGGCTCAAAGAAGACAAAACAAACGTCATAGCATAACAATTATAAAACATCATACAACATTATACATCAATATTAGTATTGCCATGTGATAAAAGCATGTGACTGAAGTGATGCTCAGGTAGATGGAAGCTAGTTGACAAGGAAGACCGATGCGAAGAGATGGGTTTTGAGTTTGCTTTTAAAGGAGTAAAGGGAAATAGCTTCGGGTCTGAAATGGAAGACGATTCCAAAGGAGAGCGAATGAAAAGGCTCTGCCACCTACGCATGATTTGTGAATTCTGGGGATGGAAAGGAGACATTAGAATAGAATAGAATTGGGAGGGATGAACCCCTCTTTAATGGTCACACATGCAGAGCACACAGCACACACAGTGACATGTGTTCTCTGCTTTTAACCCATCCTAGTACCAGGAGTCTAGTACTCGGAGCAGTGGGCAGGGGGTGAACTGGGACCTCTCCAAGTAGCAGTCCACGCTCCATATTTAGGTCTGGTGGGGGACTTGAACCGGCGACCCTACGGCTCACAGTCCAAGCCCCTAGTGACTGAGCCACTGCCGGACGGATTAGGAGGCATTATGTGATCGTGGGAGCCTGGTAGATATTCGTGGGGTAATTAATGATGATAGATATGGAGGTGCTCGTCCATGTAAGATTTGCAAGGTTAATAGTATTGTTATAGAACCATTTTTGCATGAAAAATGTATAATACTTTAGGGAAACTCTTCAATTGTGCAGGAATGGATCTTGTTACCTCAGTGAGGAAGGTGTGGATGCTGAGCGCCTCCTGCAGGAGTTTCCCTTTCCTCTCCGCCTCCGTCAGAAGATCCTCGTGGAGACGTTTCAACTCTTTCAGACGCTCCCGGATGTCGTGAGACGCAAAGTGACGACCTCTGACCTGCGGGGGTCAGTTGAATGTAAGTCTTGCCTTGCTAGTTAATTATTTTCATTATAAAAAGTACAAAAAAACACCTTCTTAACACAACAAAGAGTTTAAATAATGAGTGACAGCTTCTCACCAGACTATGTCCCGCCTCCTGAACTGCCTGGACCAATGGGGCGCGGCTTGAGATCTCCTGCGTCACAGCCTGAAAAGTAAACAAGCATAAAAAAAACACTTACGGTAAATCTGAGTGTGTTGGGAGGCTTTAAACTCTACTACAGAACTCGGTCATTTCTTATTTTGTATTCAACTTGAAAGTAATTAAACCGTGTGTGTGTGTGTGTGTGTGTGTGTGTGTGTGTGTGTGTGTGTGTGTGTGTGTGTGTGTGTGTGTGTGTGTGTGTGTGTGTGTGTGTGTGTGTGTGTGTGTGTGTGTACCTGGTGTTTGTGCAGCAGCTGCTGGGTGCTGCTCAGAGTGCCCCCCCCACTCTCTGTTAGTGATGGAGGGCAGTCTGTCGCTCAGCCAGGCCGCCTCCTCCTCCAGGTCTCTGTAGAACTGGAACAGAACCTGCCAGGCCTCCAGGGTTTCCCTCCGACTCAGCAGGGGCTCCGACAGACTGTTGTATCTGATCGGGTAAACATCACGGATATTTTTAACACATCTGTTGTAAACACCTCTGAACATAGTTTATACTTCTGCTGTATCATTGAGTGTAATGTCAAAGGGTCATTTCAGTTGATAAACACTTGTCTCCGAAATCCGGAAAAACAATCAGTCAGTCAGGCAAGTTGTAAACAGTTAATCTAGATGACCTTAAACCACCTTAGTTAGTCAAACCAGAAGTGAGTTTACATGTTATTTAATGCTATTTGTCTGAGAGCTTTAGTCACTTTTAAATACAGTTTTTGTATCCCCTTACATCAATGCAACTCCAGATATATATATCCTTTATTAAACCAGGTAAAAGTCTCATTCAGATTAAAATCTCTTTTTCAAGAGCGACCTGTCCAAGAGGGCAGCATACATTTTTTTACAACAAATGAAATGTGTTAATTTTAAACGTTTGTAATAAACTGAAGGATAAAGTGTTCCGTCATGTCCTTTAAAATAAATTATACTACTTCTTAAGATTAATAAACTATTAGAAACCCTCTTGAATCAGCAGGAAAGGTCCAATCTAATAAGCCAAATCCAAACGTCCGACCTGTTGATGGTGTGAGCGACTCTCGTCTGGATCTCCTCAGCCAGGAAGTTTCCCTGCGAGTGGAAGCTCTTCGCTGTATCCACCAGACCCTGTTAGATAAAGAAACATAATAAACACCATGCACTATACTGTATAATCCCCTCAGATCTCCACATTGGTCACGCACCTGTATTCTGTCTCTGAGTCCGTCCACCTCCTCCTCCAGGCCCTGCAGAGCCTTCAGCAGCCGGGTGACGGACGGCAGGTCGCTGCCACAGTCCTCATTGTTCAGTTCACTTTCCACTGAGCCCACACTCTGCTCCATGTCATCCAGAGAGCGCTGGAACTGCAACGCCTGAATGAAACGCACACATTGAAGGGTTGAAGAAGGACAGGGTGATAACCAGGCTTGGGATTGCACGTAACAGGATTGCGTAATAAGGATACCAAAAAAAAGGGTAACTGTATTCCCTTACAATTATTAGTTACATGTAAATTAATGTAATCAGTAACGTCTAAGTAACCTAAGCAACACAATATAAAAGTAATCTGATTACTTTTCGTTACTTTTGGATTACCTCAATGTTAAATGCAAAGCAAATAAATACAAGAGCAAATAAATAAGATGTTTTATTGTGTATTATGTAAAACAACAGAACGATGTGTCATCTTAAATCAGGCCTCATCAAGGCCTACAGAATACTATGCAGTTTTTTTCAAATGCAGTTTTAGTTTAAATCTTAAAGGTCCCATGTCATGGCCATTTCTATTGATCATAATTCCATTGTTGAGGTCTACTAAAATAAATGTACATTGTTCAATGTTCCAAACTCTCATTGGTTTCTCATACAGCATCTCTGTATAGTATGTGTATTCACTCTCTGTCCTACACGGCTTGTTGGAGCTCCTGCCCCCCCCCCTCTCTGTGAGCCCAGTGGCCGTCTGCGAGACAGCGAGACACAGCGAAACCCAGCCCGAAACACACACACACACACACACCCGCAGCCTGGCTGGGAGTTTGTGTGTGTGCCCAGGCTGAGTTCTGCGGTGTCTCGCCGTCTCGCCGACCCCACACCAGTGAGCCAGCTCACAGTGTCCGCTCCTCGCAGCAGCCTCGCAACGTCCCGCCGAGTGTGTGTGTGTGAGGAAGTCTGCGGATTGGTCCAAACGTAACGGCTCCGCGGACATAACGTAATTTGGGCCAATCTGCGGAGCCGTTAAGTTACGTCACTATAACCCAAGAACAATGGAAAAAGAGAAATGTCCAACGAGGCGTTCTGGGGCAGCATAGACAGGTCTTCTCTGTGTTAGAGTTTTACTCGCTACAGGGTGTACTTTGAGGGTTTGTGACTCTGCAGACCGTTTACATGCAGAAGCTACAGAACACAAGGGGACGGGGAATAACCAGAAAAGCATGACATGGGAGCTTTAAATTAAAAGTAAACACAGTATTTTGTTTAATAAATTATTTTGTAACATTGTAATCCTGCTAGAAATCCCAATGTTTAAGGAGTGTAACAGTAATCTGACTATAACTGGATGTTATGTGACTGTAAGGGAATACATGTTTGATGTAACTGTTGGGGAAATATTTTCCTAGGCCCATAACTTTGACCCAGTTTATCAGTTTGTACTTCCCTCACTGAGCACAACCTTGAGCTGCTCTCAGTGTCTCCTTATTCCTGCCTGATAGCGGTGTTTCATCTTGTAATGCAGTATGTTGATTCTTCTCTCAGAACCAGCTAAACACATGGGTCTGGGGTAGAGATCTTCAGAACATGTCTTGTAAATTCTCCGGTCGAAGCTCCAAATAAACCCTCAGTGTTTTCCATCAAAGTTCCTGCTCTCTCTCTCCTCGTGTCTCTCTGAGTTTCGTCTCCATTGTTTCAGAGGTTTCCATCAATGTAACCCTCCCAACCCTGGCTATGACTATATCAAACATCATGGTGTTTTCCTCCTGGTACCTGGTAGGCCTCCTGCAGTCTGGTCTTCTTCTCCTTACAGTTTTGGATCAGAGCGTCCCAGCTGTCCGTCAGCTCTCTGAGTCGAGGTCGGACTTTCACTTCAGCTGATCGAGGGTCAGAGAGCAGCTTCTCTGATTCCTGCAAGACATCACATTCATCCCGTCAGTACTGATGTATTTGCAAGAGCTTCTACAACGACGTATTAGTCATATCAGGTCTGGAATGAAGTATAGGGGGGTTATATTTAGGGCAGAACATTTGAACATTTGAATTTCATTGAGATTTAAGTCCCACATTTTGTCTGAATACATTTGCGAAAGGAAAAAAATGCTTTAATGACGTTGAATCAACCTTGCAAAGTTAATTGGTCGTTATTTTTATTTATTTTTACTTACAATAGCCCTTTATACAACACAATATGTTTTAGTGCCAACACCAAAACGTTCTGCTGCACTTTTCTTTAAAAAATGTTTTAAAGAAAATCTACAAAAGCCTTTTTTCATCAAACAAACAAAGACTAAAATAATCAATTTCATCCCATCAGTACTAGGGATGTACCGATACCAAAAAACTCACGGTACGATAATATCGCGATATTGAAAAAATGTTTACTTGAAAAAATGTTCTTTATCAAATAATAAATCTGATTTGTTTCGCATTTTAGTAGGATAGTAGTATTTTAAAGTGTCAAAAACAAAGTGACAGTAACAGACTGGAACAAGAACAACCAGTGTTTTTGTACCTACTGGTACTACCAAACAAAGCAGGCATTTTCTTTGTGCCACTGCACCTCACAAATGAACAAGGACATTGAATAATCAGACCCCGCAATCAAATAAATCAAGTTTCACTTTTTTCAAGTAACTAAACTCAAACTCACTAACTCGCTGACTCAGCATCATCAGACAGGTTTTTAGGAATATGAGCATGTCCACATTTCCAGGTAGAAGCTGGGATGTTTGGGCGTTTACAATATCCCCTGCTGTGGAAAAAACTCTCTCGCTTGGTGCTGATGTTGCTGGTGCTGATGTTGCTGGTACTGATGTTGCTGGTACTGATGTCGCTGGTGCTGATGTTGCTGGTACTGATGTTGCTGGTGCTGATGTTGCTGGTGCTGATGTTGCTGGTGCTGATGTTGCTGGTACTGATGTTGCTGGTGCTGATGTTGCTGGTGCTGATGTTGCTGGTACTGATGTTGCTGGTGCTGATGTTGCTGGTGCTGATGTTGCTGGTGCTGATGTTGCTGGTACTGATGTTGCTGGTACTGATGTTGCTGGTACTGATGTTGCTGGTGGTCGCTGGTACTGATGTCGCTGGTACTGATGTCGCTGGTACTGATGTCGCTGGTGCTGATGTTGCTGGTACTGATGTTGCTGGTACTGATGTTGCTGGTACTGATGTTGCTGGTACTGATGTTGCTGGGACTGATGTTGCTGGTACTGATGTCGCTGGTACTGATGTCGCTGGTGCTGATGTCGCTGGTGGTCGCTGGTACTGATGTCGCTGGTGCTGATGTCGCTGGTGCTGATGTTGCTGGTGATGATGTTGCTAGGACTGATGTTGCTGGTACTGATGTCGCTGGTACTGATGTCGCTGGTGCTGATGTCGCTGGTGGTCGCTGGTACTGATGTCGCTGGTGCTGATGTCGCTGGTGCTGATGTTGCTGGTGATGATGTTGCTGGTACTGATGTTGCTGGTGATGATGTTGCTGGGACTGATGTTGCTGGTGCTGATGTTGCTGGTGCTGATGTTGCTGGTGCTGATGTTGCTGGTACTGATGTCGCTGGTACTGATGTCGCTGGTGCTGATGTCGCTGGTGGTCGCTGGTACTGATGTCGCTGGTGCTGATGTCGCTGGTGCTGATGTCGCTGGTGCTGATGTCGCTGGTGATGATGTTGCTGGGACTGATGTTGCTGGTGCTGATGTTGCTGGTGCTGATGTTGCTGGTACTGATGTTGCTGGTACTGATGTTGCTGGTGATGATGTTGCTGGGACTGATGTTGCTGGTGCTGATGTTGCTGATGCTGATGTTGCTGGTGCTGATGTTGCTGGTACTGATGTTGCTGGTGCTGATGTTGCTGGGACAGCAGTGGTCGCGTTAACCGAATATTTTTTTTAACAATGATGGAAAAATCTGAAAGCAGATTAGAACAAACTCGGAACAGCGCCAAAGTTTCCCCGCAGTGAGGCTCTGGTGTTTGCCGTGTTATGCATGCCCTCCAAAAGGAAATGATATAGTTTCCAAACCGTACTTTGCCGTACAGTTCATTGAAATGTCTGGGAGTTGTTGCTTTACGCTGTGCGCGCTCCCGCGAGGTGCATGCATATCTCGGTGGGCATGCATAACACGGCATAACACTCTAGGTATGTAAATGTAGCCCTGTACGATGTCCTTTTGTGTTATCTGTTGTTTTATGTTCATGTTGTAACCTACTTGCTGCCATGTTGGACAGGTCTCCCTTGAAAAAGAGGTCGATGATCTCAATGGGACCACCTGGTTAAATAAAGGTTTAAAAAAAAATATATATATATATATATTAACCATGTAATATCACGGGAGATTTTGTCAGTCTCACGACGGTATTGAGACGTTTATGTATCGCGATACTGCGATATTCGGTATATCATTACATCCCTAGTCAGTACTGATGTATATATATCTTAGCATTAAAATATATTGAAATACACAGACCTTGGTGAGTGTGTCCACTCGGTAGCGGTTAGCGAGGATCTCCGCTTCAAAGCTCTGGTGTTTCAGCAGCTTGGCCTGAAGGTTGGTCGGTTCCCTCCAACTCTCATCCAGCGCCACTGCATTACGCTCGTTCAGCCACACACACACCTGGAACACACACACATTTACTACATTTATAAACACTTAACACCATATTCTGTTTTCAGACAAACAAATCAAATATCATTGAAGAATTGGAGGATGAACCCCTCTTTAATGGTCACACATACATGCACACAGCACACACAGTGAAATTAGACCTCTGCATTTAACCCATCCTGTTGTTCAAGAATGATGGAATACGCTAGAAATAGTTAAGTAATCTGCATGATTGTACTAAGTTAATTACACGATTTAAATGAGTACCTGGTAGCTGCTGGACAGGAACTGCTGCAGCTCCAGGGATCGATCCAGAGCTTTGTGACGAGATCTGCTCTGCTGCTGCAACTGACTCCGTCTACACACAAACACACACACACACACACACACACACACACACACACACACACACACACACACACACACACACACACACACACACACACACACACACACACAAGGAGAGAGAAAGTTACCTTCATTAGCCACCTTTAGCTTAGCATAAGGTGGTGTTAATGTGAGGAGATTATCCTGCTGTACAAAACGTGTACGTATCATCATTTTGTTTTTGCTACAGAACTTATTTACTACAATATTCCAACATCTAAAGAAATAATCCCACTGCTTCTTTTAATGTTTCCCACCCAAAAGGAAAACTGTCTTGATGAGAAACAGATGTTATGATCAGAGTTTCTCTTCACCTGGTGGCGAGCGCTTTAGTTTTGGCTCTGATGTTGTCAGAGTCGTAGTGTTTCTGTTGGATCATCTTCTGACCCAGTGTCTCCACCTCGTCCAGCTGCTCCACCTGAGCCTCCAGCGCCTCCTCAAACTGAGCGTGTTTCCTCTGAAGAGTCTCCACCTCCATCACCATGCTCTGCACCAACACCACAGAAGAAGACACTGATAGAAAGCCGTATTCTTACATTAAAGGTCCCCTATGATACTGTTTTTCACCAATATGTCACAGGTCTCAGATATATACAGAGCCTGTCTCTGATTGGTTGAAACACCAAACAGATCATTGCAGCATTACCCATAATCCCCTCAGAGTCTCTTTACACAGAGGGGACACATGTTGATGTAGAAGAGACGTGAAGAAGAGGGGACACATGTTGATGTAGAAGAGACATGAAGAAGAGGGGACACATGTTGATGTAGAAGAGACATGAAGAAGAGGGGACACATGGTGATGAAGAAGAGACATGTAGAAGAGACATGAAGAAGAGGGGACACATGGTGATGAAGAAGAGGTGCTTCTCTCCTACCCCGAGGTCCTGGTTGGAGAGGAACGCCTCCTTGTTGCTCAGCCAGCTCTCACACTGATCCACAGAGGACAAGAAGACCTGCAGGACAGGAAAGCATTATTTACCCACATCCAAAATATTATGATATATGAAAGTAGCAGCTCTAGGATAATATTCTGAAAGGCATACTGAATTGTTGTTTTTCTTTTTTAGTTTAGGAAATGTGCTCTACAGTTTCACTTTTCTACACATCCTGCATGTTATATATATTACTGCATTTACTTAAACGTGCACCTGAAAATGCAAATAAACGCACCTGAAGTATAGCATGTAGTATTATACTTTGTTATACATTTTAATTTGTCTATTTATATCATTTTTTTGTGCATTTATTCATTATTATTAAGTAGTAGAACAATTCATATTTACCATGTCTTCACCGCAGGAGACTTTTGTTTACAAGCCCTGATTAGTTAACAATTAAATCATTTGAGTGTGACCAAAGTTCCTGCAGGTGCGAAGTTAAATGTCTAATCTATTGTATGAAAGTGAATCTCCTCACCTGCAGGGTGCGAGCCTGCCCCAGCGTCGTGTTTCGGTTCAGCCATGCTCGGTCCAGTCCAGATTTGGCTTCTTCCAGCTGGTTCAGAGCCTTCTGGATCTCCGTCTTCAAACCGTGCCCCGACCGGATCAGACCCAGACCGAAGTCCCGCACGGAGTCGATGCGCTCGGCACGGGCGTCGATCTCCGTCTGACGAAACAGAAACACACTCAAATTTGATCCAACTGTATCAACTAAGTCATGGGGGGTCCAAACTACGGCCCAGGGGCCAAATGCGGCCCGCGGCCCATTTTGAAAAGGCCCTCAGCTAATTCAAAAGTATAAGGAAATATGGCCCACAAATGAAACTTGTGCTTGCGAAATATTTGACTATTAAATATATATGTAAAAATATATATCACAGTATTCATGTGTTAACCTGTTAAGCCCCGAGCCTGTTTTTCAGGTTTCAGGCTCGAAAATGACATGCCCAAAACAAATGACTACAACTTCACTTCTAAAAGGGTTATATGAATAATTTCTTTTATCAAAGCAAGGTTACATCTGTGAGTTGGATGTAGAACTGTCAGAATCAATATAGATTTTTCTCAGTCAGAGTAAATTCAGATGGAACATAGTAAAAAAAGGTAAATTCTTACCTCTGCCTAAAGAAAAAACATTACTTATAGTGAAAACCACCCTTGAATGATGGGGTGGTAGACTAGCTTTAGGAATCCAAACTATAACATATAATAAGTACCCTGTCGTGGCCCATTCTTGTGGGATATCTAAAACTGTGCCACGTCAACAGGGATCCGCTTCTTGACTCACACGTTAAAAACCATCCAAATAAAGCTCTGTAGGCGCTGATTTCTTTGCCTTCCTTGGCCGATTTATTTACTTCCATATATTTAAACAAACAAAATAAACAAAATGATCAGTGTAACGTGAGGTCAAAGACTGTTCTGATTCCCCGTTCATTGCTGGAGAAGATTTCCACCTCACGCTCAGTCCCACCCCTTCCTTATATAACAGGTGTGGCTCACAGTAAATCAAAGTTTTCCTACGAATAATTAATTCGGTACTAATACATAAATGGAAAGAATATATTAAGATCTAAATTAATAAGAAAATAATACACTCATTGTCAACACAGAAAATGACTCTAACATGCCCTGTATCAAGATTGAGGCAAAACAAGTTAAATTTGACCTTTTTAGAGAGGTTTAGCAAAAACAAGTTCCAGGCGGAATAAGCTTTCGGCACATTTGGGTACATCTGGTTCCATCAGTGCCATTTGACCTTTTTCAGGTACCAGACTATAAAAATGATGTATTACATTGAATTATCACCATAGGTATTCATTCCATCCAAAGAAAAAAAATTAAAATTAAAAGAATTAATTAAAAAAAAAAAGACCCGCCGACAGGGGCTTTGGGGCAATAAGCCCAATTCTCAAATAAATTCAATCAATTAAAGTTGGAAACATTTTCAAATAAATCTTAGTTGATAAAAAAAAAAACAATAACTTAATTACATAACAAGCTTGATATCTACCCTTCATATTTCTCCTTATGATAATCACTCTGAGGCTTCTGTTTTAAGGGATGAGCTGCCAACACTCACAAGCATCATGTACCTACATTTGATTGATTTTGCTAACTTATAACTGAACTTATGAGGCCATATACCTCTAGTGAGTGGCCCAGCCCTTCGTATATTTTTCTGTATGTGGCCCTCGGTGAAAAAGGTTTGGACACCCCTGCTCTTGATATAGCGCTCACCTTCCAGTCCTGATGCTCCACGATGAGCCGCTCTGCCTCAGCTCTGGTCTTGGGAAGCCCTTTCTCTGCCATCTCACCGCTCTGCTTCACACTCCACTCCAGCAGGAGGCGCTGGTTGGCTTTGAAGAGCTGCAGCTGGTGAGCCTCCTGTAGCTTCTCCTTCCTGCACAAATATATGAGATCACAGTCGAACAAAAACAGGTTTATTTTGCTTAGGAAGGTTCAACGGAGCTAAATGACCCAGGAATAGTAAGTCGCAGCCATGATAAAAGTGTAAGAGAGAGAGAGAGAGTGTGTGTGTGTGTGTGTGTGTGTGTGTGTGTGTGTGTGTGTGTGTGTGTGTGTGTGTGTGTGTGTGTGTGTGTGTGTGTGTGTGTGTGTGTGTGTGTGTGTGTGTGTGTGTGTGTGTGTGTGTGTGTGTGTGTGTGAGTGAGTGAGTGAGTGATAGAATAGGTAGGTAGGTAGGTAGGTAGATAGGTAGGTAGGTAGATAGATAGATAGGTAGATAGATAGGTAGATAGATAGGTAGGTAGGTAGGTAGGTAGGTAGGTAGGTAGGTAGGTAGGTAGGTAGGTAGGTAGGTAGGTAGGTAGGTAGGTAGGTAGATAGATGGGTAGATAGATAGGTAAATTAATTAAAAATAAAAAATAAAATGAAAATGTTAAAAATATTATGTCACATCTAAACAATATAAACAAAACAATATAAAATATTCTGGATAATTACAATAAAAAGTCAAAAATACTACAGGTCTTTTATAAGAAAGGAGAAACTCAAACTATGGAGCAGCGAGTTCTCTTTAATGCTGAGGAAAGATCCTTCACCAAAGGAAATGATGTCTCTGTACAATCTACACATTCAAAGCTTTTAGATAAAGTCCTCCTCACCTGAGTTTCACCTCCTGGTCCAGAGTCTTCAGAGCTTTCTGGACCTCCTTCTGTTTGCTCTTCAGCTTGTCGCTCATCACTGATCGAGCCTTCAGGTGATCCGAGACCTCCATCTCCAGAGCCTGAGTGAAGAGAGAGGGAGGACAGTAAAGTCTCTGCCACATTTTATATGACGTTGATATGATGTTTTTATTTATTTTGGGACATCTAGGTGTAATCTGATTGCCTTTTGATTTTTATCTTTCACATGAGATCATCTTCCTAAATCACATTAAAAGCCAACATCTTACACACAATGTACGTATTGTATATATTCTAACAGCCAAATATTAACCTAAAAAGAGAAGAGTGATGAATACAGACGATGACAATTTGGAATAAACGGCAAATCCAAAGAAAAATAAACAAATTTGATGTTTAGAAATACGTTTATGGTCGACTCTTGGTAACTCTATCTATCTATCCATCCATGAGTCAACCTTTTAAGGTTTTAGGACTCATTCCTGCACCATTTTATACTATATATCAAATCTCCTGAAGTGTTTAGGATCAGAAAGGTTCCTTAAAAGCCTCCAGCTCACCTTTGACCTCTCCTGGATGACGCCCGCCTCTCTCTCTGTTTCCTCGTGGCGTCTGATCAGGTTCTCCACGCTGTCCACATCAAACCCACAGTCCTGACCCTGCAGCAGCAGCATCTGCAGACACAGCCATTGTTAAAGGTCTCCTATCATGTAGGCATATATTATGGGTCTCAGATATATAAAAACATATATAAAAAACATGTCAATGATGTGTTTTGCTCAAAAATACCAAACAGATCATGCATTTTAGACATCCCTCATATCCCTCTGTTTCAGCCCTGTTAGAGAAACGCTGATTCTGGGTCCTTAGCTTAAAGAAAATGCAGATCTAATGCCTGCTCAGACTTCTACCGAGATACAGCTAAATGCTGCCGTGATGAAACGTCATCATGTTCCAAACCACATCAAGGATTCTCTCTGAAACAGTATGGAGCTCAAAGGCTTTCTCTCTTGCCGGTTATACCACAAGGTGAGTTCCTTTTTATTTCCTGCTTCTTCACACACATGCTCTCCAGTACAGGTTAGCTCTGAGTGTTAGCGATGCTAATGTAAACACCGACCATATTACGTCCAAAACAGTCGGGCATTGTTTCTGATAGCAACGTTTCTGATAGTGCCGTGGGTCCACATTTCAGATATTACGTCATATCGGACGCAGATCTGGATCAGCTCCGTTGTTCCCCGTTTTTAGAGATTTGGGTACGGAGGAAAAGAGAGAGGGTTTTATTTTCTGACGCTGCGTGAGTTCCCCGACACACCGGGGACACATAGTTATGTATTAAGGACATTAAAAGTGGATTTTGCATGATAGGTCCCCTTTAATGTTAGTCTCCATGGTTTGTGTAGAGGTGTAGTTTTAAGGTAGTATGAGGTGACTCACCTTCTCATTGGCTCTGTCTCGAACCTCCTCGAGCTCTCGGATCAGAGCGTGGACCACCAGCGCCCCTTCTAGCTTCTTCTTGTAATTGCTCAGATCTCCGTGAAACTTGCTCCACCTGGACGAGACGAAAGACAACTTGTAAAACTGATAAAATGACCCGTTAAAAGGTGAGATTAAAAAGTGAGTGTTACCTGTCGTTGAGCTGCTTTCTCCTCTGTCTAACGGTAACCAGTTCTTCTGCACTCTGTCTCTTTTCCAGTCTGTCGGCCAGTCTGTTGATGGCTGTGATGTGAGCGTCGTCTACTGTCACGTCCTATTGATTACATATACCGTAAGTATCTTTTATGCATCCTACTCTAGTCAGAAACCGAAATGATTAAGTGGAACAAATGCCTTTAATTCAAAATCCCTTCCTTTGGTAAGTATGTATTTTCTTTTCTGATCTTCTCCCATTTGTTCTGTACATTTGACTTATTCCATGTTGCTGTTAATGCAAACTCAACACACCTGCATCCTTTTCAAATAAAAAACATTTAGCACAGTCCACACATTGTGACAGTTTACACCAACATAACTTTAAGGACATGTTTTCTCACCCCATCTCCAGTTCCCCTGAACTCGCTGAGTTTCTTCAGCAGCTGAACTCCATGTTCGTAATCCTTTCCAACATCTCCGACATTAATCATCACCTCCTGGAAAACAGACAGGTTCAGAGTCAGACATTTAACACTGTCCCTCCATTATTCATCAAGCGTCTTTGAGCATTAGGAAAAGCGCTATAAAAATGCAAGAGTGGTGCAGGGATGAAGTATTCACCCGGAAGTAAGCTGCTGGTTCCCTCGACAAAAAAGCAATGAGATTTCTCCATATGATTTTGGAAAATAGCTGGAAATAATGTCTGTGGAAAACGAACCTGTTTGATAAATGCACGTTTTGTTCAGCCGGATCATCTCCACATGTCTACCCTACTTTTATAATTTTCTAATCATAAATCTAATGGCCAGAAGCAAAATGCTAACGTGATGCTATAAAGGAACTACAGGCGAGTCCAGCAGCACGACTTCAACGTCACGCCAACTTCAGATCCATATTCAAACATACAGATTCTAAATGGTTCGAGTTGAAGCGTTTGTTTGAACACTTTGCAGGAGGCAGGTACTTGCTTTCAAGCAGAACAGGGCAAACTAACTTAGAGGAGTGTTTACGTGTTCGGCGTAATGACGTACAACGACCTCCACGACTTCTGTAGTCCTATTCAGCCACTTGGTAACAACCATCGTTTTTCAGACACGTCAACTCTTCAGAAATCACCAGTGGGGTCACTGCTGATGGATTTAATGTCCTAGAACAAAACGTGATCCGTCTCTTCAATGTGTCTCAACCACAGACCTTATTTCAGCTATTTTCCTAAACCCTATGGAGAGATCCCATTGGCTCTGAGACGAGGGAACAGGAAGTGGTGAAATGCTGACTCACTTCCTGGTTTTAGGACTCGTCACTGCACCACTCTATTATTATTGTCCTACCTTGTTTCGGATCCAGGCCTCCACCTCTTCCACTTTCTGCAGGAACTCCAGGAAGTCTCTGTTGTCTTCCAGAGACTTCCCTCTGCTGGCCAGGGCTTTCTTCAGCTCCTCCCAGTGGAGCTGCAGGGCGGAGGAACTCCTCTTCACCTCCTTAGACCTCGGGTGATGAAGAGAAACCAGCTCCTCTCCAGCCTGGAGGTAAAGAACAAGAAAAGGACCCCATGGAGTTTCAGATATTTGAAGCCAGTGAAGTCAAATTAGTTTTCTAAGAGATGTTTCACCTGCAGCACCGAGCCGATGATCTCTCTGTGAGCGAGGATCTCTGCCTCGAACACCTGGTGTTTCTGCAGAAGCTTCATCTTGGCCTGCAGGTAGCTGAGATCTGCTTTCCCGTCTTCTGCCATCTTCTGCATCCTCTCAGACACCCACTCCTCAGCCTGACACACACACACACACACACACACACACACACACACACACACACACACACACACACACACACACACACACACACACACACACACACACACACACACACACACACACACACACACACACACACACACACACACACACACACACACACACACACACAGGTGAACGGTAAAGGGTTAATGGACTGCCTTTGTCATGGCCTGGCTCTTGGCCATAACAAAGAACGTGGAAAGGACACGATATAAGGAAAGATATTTATTATAACAAACTCAACTAACCAGTCAGTGAGATCAGTAGTGTAGGTGTGGGTGTGTGAACATGGTGTGGTAAACATGGAAGTATAGGAAAAGGTCTCTGGTTTACAAAGGAGATGTTTATTTGTCTCGATACAATATGGAAAAACGTTATTGTCCCCATAAGGAAATGTGCTTTTGAGGACGTGCCTTATTCCTTTGCCTGAGACACTGTGTCCCGGTGGCTTCATGGACTTTTATTCCACATCAAAACCTAGTTTCCCCATGGGACTAATAAAGTGTTGTGATTGATTGATTGATTACATTATCATCATATCAAGTCATGGATGAGTTGCTCACCTCAGCTACGTCTCTGTTGAAGATACACAGCATCCTGGAGAGCTCCAGCTCCTCCCTGCGTTTGACGGACAGCTCCTTGATCCTATCACGTCTCTTGAGGAGGGCTTTGAGTTTGGTTTGGACCGAGCTGCTCTTCTCTCTGCTCAGCTGCTTCTTCAGCCGCTCGGACAGCTCCTTCAGAGAGGAGAGCTGCACCAAACACAGGGAGGGAACATTTCAATCACCAAATCATCCCCAAAGCTGTGAAACAAGTCAACAAACCGCGGACATGCCGGGATAAGATTTAGATTTAGACCGTAGATCGTATCCTACTTGTCTTCCACTTACCTTTTTACCACTGTCTACGACGAATAAAGACTTGTTGATTTTGATAAAGACAGTACACACATTTTTGCGTATAAAATGAGGGAACAGGACGTTAGCATGCTGCGATTAAATGATGGCTCACATTTGAAGTACAGGGAAAGAGATAAATAATAAAAGAATATCAGACCTTGTCCTCCTGCGAGCTGAGCAGCTTCTCAAAAGCTTCATGCCGTTTTATCAAGCCCTCCGTCTCATCGACTGTGTTTCCCAGAGTGCTGTTCTGCAACAGGATCTGTGGAGAAATGGAAACCACCGATCAGACACTGGATGTGATGTTTCTCATGTCCCTCTCACAAAGGGATGAGGTTACCTCCTGTGAGCTGGAGGTTTTGTCCATGCTGTTAACGTCTCTGTAGAAGACCTGCTCCAGATGAATGCTCTCTAACCAGCTTTGTTTCAGGCTCCACTGATCCTCCAGCTTTTCTCGCTCCTCCTGCAAAGCCTTTAGCTTCTCCAACACCTGGAAGAAACAGTTCAACATATCCAGCATCAAAATGCATTTGAAACACTCCCAGGACATTTGGAGGATACATCATTCAACCAGGAGGGAGTTCTCGTGGAAGAATCTGATCTGTTTCTTCATTACACGAGAGGTGAAGAGTAAACAGATGTCGACAGAAGTGTTGGTGAGAATGTCAGGAAATAATTGTATTTTGGGAAATGATATGTAAGGAAATACGTTGAATAATAGGGTATGAGGTTTCTAAAAGTTGCTTGGTACTCTACTTATGTAAGGAAATCATTGCAAGTGACAGATATTTGATCAAAATGCTGCTCATATCCAGCAAGAAAGCTATCCCGAGGAAGGAAGGAAGGAAGCACCACCAACGAAAAACCAAAGGGTAACAATTGTGGAAGAAATATTTTTGATAGAAAAACTGACTTATAAATTGAGATTACAAAAAACACAACTCAACAGAAAGTGGGAAAATGGACTCTGACTGGAACAATAGCTAATAGTTACATGTATCTTTAAGACTATAATAACATGAAGACATATCAATATGCTTTTATTAAATGTTGTATTGCCTTGCTGGCCTTTTGTTACGTGATTGTTATGTTGTTGTAACCAGCATGTTAATGCCATGTATATTTAGATTTAAATTACAAACAAACACACACTCCCAGGAAGGACAGTCATAGCATCATGATGTGTGTCTTATTTTAGCAGAGTTAGAGCATGGATGTATAATAAGAACCCGTATGTGTCTCATAAGGCGCTTTCACACCGGAGTACTTTTCCCGTTTAGTTCCGATAGTTCCTGGAATTTTGCGTTCACACCAAAAAGAGAACTTAGTTCATGAGAACTTTTACCCCCTTTTTAGTGCCCGCTAGAGAGGTGGGACTTTCCTGGGGAGAAAAAAGTTCCAATTTCTGATTGGCTGGGCGAATTGCAAACCACGCCCCGTAAAACTCTGAAAAGTTTTGTGAAGCCGCCATTGTATTTGCTGGCATTAGCATTATTAGCATTAGCATTAGCCCCGCGCACCAACGGAGAGAGACTAACTTATGGCAACATAATAATAATGGCTTCAGTAGAAGCTGCTGGGACTCCCAGCAGCTTCTACTGAAGCCTTCCCCAACTCCGGGGACTTCCGGCCGGGGACTCCGGGTGGCAGTATACGCCGTGAAGTTGTTTGCGGCCTGCCAGTAAACCCAAAGCAGAAGAAGAAGAAGTGACGTCAGCGGCTTCATTTGCGTAATCTTCCCTCAGGGAACTTATTCCGGTGTGAACGCGATCTGTACTAAGTGCCATGGGGGAACTAAGTGCTGGGAACTAAGTGCTGGGAACTAAGTACGGCAAAGTACTTGGTGTGAAAGCGGCTGAGTTTCCCCTTAAGCCCCGCCCCCGAGCTCCCACTCTCGACTCACTAGAATGAATGGAGAGAGAAAATCAATCTGGATTCAGCTTTTAGTGCGTTTTACAACTTTAAGGACCTTATGATTCTAATAAGGGCTATAAAAGTGTTCGTGCTGGGGAGTTTATTTAGTTAAAAAAAAGTATCCGCTGATTTACAGACGTCTCTTTCCCCATGTTAGTCAATGGGGAAAAGTCTTTCTGGGCCGGGTGACGTCACGGACTGATACGGAAGTTGAAGTACCGCCGTTTGGCCACTAGGAATATTTTCCTCAGAGTCCGGCGCACTTCCTGGGGGCTTGGGTTAGAGGCCTGAAAAAGACGCGATCAATTTGTGAATATGGTGATTGCAGATCGTACCTCCTTCCTGTTGGTTCGGTCCTGCGTCTGCAGCTCCTCTCCCATGTCCAGAGCCTGCTGGTAGGTCTCCTGTCTGGCCTCCATCTCCGCCCACAGCTGCTGGTGTATGGCCAGCTGCAGGTCAGAGGTCACCACATCACTGATGCTCTCCTCAGCAGCCATCGCACCGATCAGCTGGCTGCACCACAGGAAGTAATCCTGCGCCTGGAGAGCACAAGGACACATGGGTAAGAGCTGAGAATCCTGAACGTTTGAACAAAGTTGAAATCATTTGTGGTTTTTTTCTTTACCGTGTTGAGGAACATGTATCTTTGGCACGCCAGTTTGAGCTCCTCCTCCCTCTTTTCAGCGTGGACACGGAGATCCTCCCACCGCTCCACCAGTTGCTGCTGCACTTCCTGGAGGCGGAGCTTCAGCTGAGGCGAGCAGAGGTCCAAGATGGAGTCGACGCCGTCCAGCTGCTCCTGCAACTGCAACACACACAAAAAAGTATAAGATCAGCAAGAAAATAACTGTGTGAGTTCAGGGGAAATATGCTGAGGGTTTGAAGCCATTCTGACAGATCTTTTGCTCCAGACTTTGTCGTGACAGTGTGAGAAGAATACTGCTTTTCTGAAGAGTTAATGTGCGCTGAGGCTGCGTGATACTCTGGTCTCTCCGTGTCTCTACCTGTTGCTCTGTGGCAGCGAGCTCGTGCAGCAGAGCTTCATGTTTCCTCAGCTGCGACGTCACTCCTCTCAAATCCTTCGCCACGTCGTCAGGGATGCTCTTCCGTCGCTCCTACAGAGAAGAGAGCGGGATGAAGGTGAATGACTCTAACGTGTCTGATTAAATGTTTGTGATGAACTGACTGATAAATGCTGTACCTGGATGAGTGTCAGTGCGTCGCTCAGGTCTTGGTAGAAGCGGTGACATTCCTCGGCTTTCTGCAGCTGATCTTGTCGCTCCGTGGCCACTACCTTCAAATCTTCCCAGCATGCACTGCAAACAAACAGGGGTGGGAAGTAGTGGAGTACAAATACTTTGTTACTGTACTTAAGTACATTTTTCTGGTGTCAGTACTTTACTCCACTACTTATTTTTCTGACTACTTTTTACTTCTACTTCTTACATGTTGAACCCAAATACCTGAACTTTCTACTTCTCACATGTTGAACACAAATACCTGTACTTTCTACTTCTTACATGTTGAACACAAATACCTGTACTTTCTACTTCTTACATGTTGAACCCAAATACCTGTACTTTCTACTTCTCACATGTTGAACACAAATACCTGTACTTTCTACTTCTTACATGTTGAACCCAAATACCTGTACTTTCTACTTCTTACATGTTGAACACAAATACCTGTACTTTCTACTTCTTACATGTTGAACACAAATACCTGTACTTTCTACTTCTTACATTTTGAACACAAATACCTGTACTTTCTACTTCTTACATGTTGAACACAAATACCTGTACTTTCTACTTCTTACATTGTGAACCCAAATACCTGTACTTTCTACTTCTTACATTTTGAACACAAATACCTGTACTTTCTACTTCTTACATGTTGAACACAAATACCTGTACTTTCTACTTCTTACATGTTGAACCCAAATACCTGTACTTTCTACTTCTTACATTTTGAACACAAATACCTGTACTTTCTACTTCTTACATGTTGAACACAAATACCTGTACTTTCTACTTCTTACATGTTGAACCCAAATACCTGTACTTTCTACTTCTTACATGTTGAACCCAAATACCTGTACTTTCTACTTCTCACATGTTGAACACAAATACCTGTACTTTCTACTTCTTACATGTTAAACACAAATACCTGTACTTTCTACTTCTTACATGTTGAACCCAAATACCTGTACTTTCTACTTCTCACATTTCCCAAACAGGCTGGTTCCTTTAGTTTGAATGTGTGTTTGGTGGCGTGATCATTATTATTTAGAGTCATTGCGTGCCTATTGATTTGAACACGATCCGTGTATCCATCATTTCCTGGTCTTCTCTAAAGAAGAGGGACCAATGAAAACGTTGTCATGTTGCCGTTGTTCAGCATGGAAACATTCATTAGCTAACAATGACATTATTGTTCTATTAATATAAAGGGAGGTCAGGTACTCTTTAAAACAGCTGCTAGTTATGGGTACTTTTTACTGAAGTACATTTCAAAGCCCTCTTTACTTTGACTTGAGTAAAGAAGTTTAGTCAGTACTTCTACTTTCACCAGAGTATTTTTAAACACGAGTATCTGAACTTCTACTTGAGGAAAGGACGTGTGTACTTTTGCCATATCTGCAAACAAACCACACAAAGTGAAGGGACGGCATCTCTCTCTTTCTTAAATCCTGATATGAGTGTGTACCTGAGCTGCTGCTGTGTGTCTCTGACTGCAGAGCTCTGAGGGTGTTTGCTGAGGATCAGTCCAGCAGCCAGATCGCTGCAGCTCTCCAGTCGCTCCTCTCCGACCTCCAGCTGCTTCAGGAAACCTTCAAACTTCCCACGGAGCAACTGAAACGCCCGTCACAAACACAGAAACTCTAACATATGTCGCACTGCACTGTAACTTTTATTCCTGTACCTTTGCTATTCATGTTTTTATTATTTTATTATAAATTTGTGTTTTTAAATGCCATTTTATAATATGTTGCTTAATGCTCTCATGGCGCATTTCCACTGCAGGGCCTCGCTCGGCTTAGTACGGTATAGTTAGGCCTTGTTAGGCCAGGCTCACTTTATGCTGCGTTTCCATTACAGTTTAGTAGCTGGGGTAGTAACTATAGTAACGCAGTGTAGGCGGAGCCGTGACGTCATCTTCAATGAGAAACACAAAACCAACATCAGCCGTTAGCTGTTAGCACTCAGAGCTCACAGCTCCTCATATATGTTCAGAAACTAGACAAAAGTTAAACAAGTACAAACCACAGACTGCCTGTGTCATGGAGAATACAGTCGCTGCTTTATTTATGTCTGTAGGCCGTTGTTGTGAGTGTGGACGGTCGGAGCATATACTGCGTTAGCTTGGCCAATCTCCATTCAGAAAACACGTATTTTAAAAGGTGTTTCGCCTGCCGTCTGTCTGCAGACTTGTCAAAGCATTAATTCATGGTTTTTACTAACCGGTATCAGTATGTTGTTACTTCGGCATCATTTTGAAACGTGTATTACAATTAAATCACGGTCAAATATGTCCATCTTGTTGTAGTTGTAGCCCCCTTGCCAGCGATTCTCTCACTAGTTTAGCATACTCAGCCCGACTCAGCCGGTTGTTGGCCCGGAAAGAACCTGGATTTTGGAGAGCCAGAAAACTGTGAAAAAGTACCCGCTAGCCGGAACTACGCCAAGTGGAAACGCAACAAAAAACGGGCCGGGCACGGCACGGCACGCTTAAACCGCGCTGTAGTGGAGATGCGCCATTAATGTCTTTCATTTTTGTGAAGCACTTTGAATTGCCTTGTGTTGAAAGGTGCAATGTAAATAAACTTGCCTTGCCTACATCTTTACCCTTAAGGTCCATTATCCACATGAATCATGATTTAAATGTGACTGTCTGCCTTTAAACAGAACTTAACCATGTACATGATTCAAACAATATTGCTCATATAAATGTTTTTTTAGATCAGAAGAAGATGGTTTTAACAGCTGATTATCATCTTATAACATGTAGTGAGACACTTATTTTCTAGTTTATGGTGTAGATTAGAAGATGCAATGCACTACCAGTTTGAACATAATACCATTACCATTAATAGATACTACAGTATGTAGTTAAGCTGAACAGTCCTAGATCTGTGAAGCCATACATAACTTAGCTTGAAACGATTAACAAATCACGTAGATACAAAATGTGGAAGTCCATAGCAATATTTCACAATGCAAAGTACATCCTGTGCGATTTAAAGACATAACTATTAGCGTGTTGGACTTAAATGAATATGTAGCTGGACACCTTTGTCCGTTCGGTAGCTCGTTGTGTTAACAAAGTATTTGAGTGCAGGTTCCTGTTACTGAGATGTCACCTGGATGTGTTGGTAGTCGTTTCCGAGGTCCTGAGACTCAGCTGTCAGTCTCTGCTCGTTCATCCAGTCCTCTAACTCTGAAGACTCTCGTATGAACTCGTGGAGATGCAGGACTTCCTTTAACCTCTGACCCCTGAAGGGAGGAACGTGAGGTGAAAGGGTCAGGTGCTTATTCAGGTATTTTAGAAACAAACCCCTGTGTTTCCTCCAGAGGGAGTTCATCTACGACACTGCCTTCCTGTAACACCTCCATTAGACTCCTCCATGGAGACATGTAGAGACACTACAGACTGATATACACCTGAACATCAGCAGGAGAGGACTCTTTAAAGTAGAGACACTACATACTGATATACACCTGAACATCAGCAGGAGAGGACTCTTTAAAGTAGAGACACTACATACTGATATACACCTGAACATCAGCAGGAGAGGACTCTTTAAAGTAGAGACACTACATCCTGATATACACCTGAACATCAGCAGGAGAGGACTCTTTAAAGTAGAGACACTACAGACTGATATACACCTGAACATCAGCAGGAGAGGACTCTTTAAAGTAGAGACACTACATACTGATATACACCTGAACATCAGCAGGAGAGGACTCTTTAAAGTAGAGACACTACATACTGATATACACCTGAACATCAGCAGGAGAGGACTCTTTAAAGTAGAGACACTACATCCTGATATACACCTGAACATCAGCAGGAGAGGACTCTTTAAAGTAGAGACACTACATACTGATATACACCTGAACATCAGCAGGAGAGGACTCTTTAAAGTAGAGACACTACATACTGATATACACCTGAACATCAGCAGGAGAGGACTCTTTAAAGTAGAGACACTACATCCTGATATACACCTGAACATCAGCAGGAGAGGACTCTTTAAAGTAGAGACACTACATACTGATATACACCTGAACATCAGCAGGAGAGGACTCTTTAAAGTAGAGACACTACATCCTGATATACACCTGAACATCATCAGGAGAGGACTCTTTAAAGTAGAGACACTACATACTGATATACACCTGAACATCAGCAGGAGAGGACTCTTTAAAGTAGAGACACTACATCCTGATATACACCTGAACATCAGCAGGAGAGGACTCTTTAAAGTAGAGACACTACATACTGATATACACCTGAACATCAGCAGGAGAGGACTCTTTAAAGTAGAGACACTACATACTGATATACACCTGAACATCAGCAGGAGAGGACTCTTTAAAGTAGAGACACTACATACTGATATACACCTGAACATCAGCAGGAGAGGACTCTTTAAAGTAGAGACTCTTTAAAGTAGAGACACTACATACTGATATACACCTGAACATCAGCAGGAGAGGACTCTTTAAAGTAGAGACACTACATACTGATATACACCTGAACATCAGCAGGAGAGGACTCTTTAAAGTAGAGACACTACATACTGATATACACCTGAACATCAGCAGGATAGCACTCTTTAAAGTAGAGACACTACATACTGATATACACCTGAACATCAGCAGGAGAGGACTCTTTAAAGTAGAGACACTACATACTGATATACACCTGAACATCAGCAGGAGAGCACTCTTTAAAGTAGAGACACTACATACTGATATACACCTGAACATCAGCAGGATAGCACTCTTTAAAGTAGAGACACTACATACTGATATACACCTGAACATCAGCAGGAGAGCACTCTTTAAAGTAGAGACACTACATACTGATATACACCTGAACATCAGCAGGATAGCACTCTTTAAAGTAGAGACACTACATACTGATATACACCTGAACATCAGCAGGAGAGGACTCTTTAAAGTAGAGACACTACATACTGATATACACCTGAACATCAGCAGGAGAGGACTCTTTAAAGTAGAGACACTACATACTGATATACACCTGAACATCAGCAGGAGAGGACTCTTTAAAGTAGAGACACTACATACTGATATACACCTGAACATCAGCAGGAGAGGACTCTTTAAAGTAGAGACACTACACACTGATATACACCTGAACATCAGCAGGAGAGGACTCTTTAAAGTAGAGAACTACATACTGATATACACCTGATATCAGCAGGAGAGGACTCTTTAAAGTAGAGACACTACGTACTGATATACACCTGATATCTGCAGGAGAGGACTCTTTAAAGTAGAGACACTACGTACTGATATACACCTGAACATCAGCAGGAGAGGACTCTTTAAAGTAGAGACACTACATACTGATATACACCTGAGCATCAGCAGGAGAGGACTCTTTAAAGTAGAGAACTACATACTGATATACACCTGATATCAGCAGGAGAGGACTCTTTAAAGTAGAGACACTACGTACTGATATACACCTGAACATCAGCAGGAGAGGACTCTTTAAAGTAGAGACACTACATACTGATATACACCTGAACATCAGCAGGAGAGGACTCTTTAAAGTAGATACACTACATACTGATATACACCTGAACATCAGCAGGAGAGGACTCTTTAAAGTAGAGACACTACATACTGATATACACCTGAACATCAGCAGGAGAGGACTCTTTAAAGTAGAGACACTACATACTGATATACACCTGAACATCAGCAGGAGAGGACTCTTTAAAGTAGAGACACTACATGCTGATATACACCTGAACATCAGCAGGAGAGGACTCTTTAAAGTAGAGACACTACATACTGATATACACCTGAACATCAGCAGGAGAGGACTCTTTAAAGTAGAGACACTACATACTGATATACACCTGAACATCAGCAGGAGAGGACTCTTTAAAGTAGAGACACTACATACTGATATACACCTGAACATCAGCAGGAGAGGACTCTTTAAAGTAGAGACACTACATACTGATATACACCTGAACATCAGCAGGAGAGGACTCTTTAAAGTAGAGAACTACATACTGATATACACCTGATATCAGCAGGAGAGGACTCTTTAAAGTAGAGACACTACGTACTGATATACACCTGAACATCAGCAGGAGAGGACTCTTTAAAGTAGAGACACTACATACTGATATACACCTGAGCATCAGCAGGAGAGGACTCTTTAAAGTAGAGAACTACATACTGATATACACCTGATATCAGCAGGAGAGGACTCTTTAAAGTAGAGACACTACGTACTGAAATGTACTTATTCACCATGCTAAGTGTTCAAGTAGTAAAGTAATATGTCAGAGTTTACCTGAGAGCCGCCTGGTGCTGCAGCTGCTGGTTCAGGCTTCTGAGGCGACTGTAAGGCCGGCTGAGCTCCTCGAGGCTCCAGTTCTGCTCCGCCTGCTCCACCTGGTCTCCCAACTCCTCCACCTCCACCTCCAGCACCTCCAGCTGGCCCTCCAACACCTGCAGCCAGGGAATCATCAGAACACACATGTCCGGTTCCTTGCTCAAGGGCACCACGGCAGGGCCAAGGAGGTGAACTGGGGACCTCTCCAAGTAGCAGTCCACACTCCATATTTTAAGTCTGTACGGTTTAAAGTGTGCTTCCTCTACTTGTAAGTATCTGCCTGGGTCCGCTGAAGGAGTTCCACAGGGGAAAGACCTCTCAGAGTGAGTGTTGTACCTTGTGTTTGGTGAGGAGACTCTGTGTTCCCAGCTCATCTTTTCCGTAGTCATCGGTGTTCACTAGAGTGAGGGTCTCAGTCAGCCTGGACTCCAGCTCTGAGCAGTCCAACAGCAGCTGAAAAGAGAAAATGAATCACAAAACACTTCCAAGACAACAACCGTTTCTCAAATGTATAATAATAGTCACATCTCTAAGTGTCCACTCACCTGTTCTCTGGTGATGGCTTTGCTCAGGTGAGATGCTCTCCTGCTGCACGCCTCCTCTAGCTCCTCCCACTCTACACTCAGGTGCGTGCATCTGCAAAAAACAACAATAACTGTAAATGTATTAAAGGAAAAACTACAATTCTGACATGTCACAATCAACCCTGAAATAAAACAACTGTACCTCTGGAGCACTTCATCCCCATCTGATTTACTGGATTTGGCCAGGCTCCGCCCCTTCTCCAGGACGTGGTTCAGGTGTTTCCGATGGGCGTTCACTTCTGCCTGCAACTCCTAAGTGAAGAAATCATGCTTTAGCTGACATTTTTTTTAATTCAGATTTTTCTTTCAAAATTATCACTTATTCCAGAACAAGTAAAAACATTACTTTTGGTCAGAAAGTGATTTTGGTAATCAGAATTTCATCATTCTGAGTAAAAAGTCAAATGTTGTATTTTTTTCATAATTCTGAATTAAGTCGAAATTCTGAAAAACTTGAATTTCTGTTTTGTTTATGGGAGAAAAATTTTGAATGACTTTTTAGTCATAATAATAAAAAAGTCAAATTCTGACAGAATTACATATTTTTTTTCTCTCGAAATGTTGTATTTTTTCCATAATTCTGAAAACCGTCAAAAACCTCACTTGTGGTCAGAAAGTGAATTCGGGGAGAAAAGTAAGTCAGAGAGAAAAAAATCTAATTGCTGACTTTCAGAAATCTGAGGAAAAATTATTCTGACTTTTTCCCAGAAAAAAACTAAAAACCTCACTTTTGGTCAGAAAGTGAACTCGGGGAGAAAAGTTAAAAAAATCTGAGTTTTTTCTAAATTCTGAGTTTTAACAAAATTCTGAGAAAAAAGTTAAAATTGCTGACTTTTTCAGAAATCTGGAGAAAAAAATAATATATATTCTACCTAAATAAAAATCACACCATTATCATTTTTATATATTTTCCAATGAAAATGATGATGCAATAATGATGAATCCTTCCTATAAAGTAATGGCAATATTAATTGAAATAATCGCAATTAGTGATTTATCCCAACTCTTTGTATATGTGATGAACTGTGGTCTACCTTGTGTTTCTGCATGAGGCTGATGGCTCCGGCCAGAGACTTGTCGTATCCCGTGGATCCAGATGCAGGGACGTGTTCAGAGATCCAGCTGAGCTCCAGATCCACGTCGTGATAAAACCCAAACAGAAAGACTGACGCCTCCAGCTGAGCCCGACGCCGGTCCAGAGGCTTCTGGAGAGACTTGAACCTGTGGAATAAAGATTTCAAATCAACTTCATCTCCTTCGTGTCCCTCTACATCAGGGGTGTCCACATTTTTTTATAGTAAAGATAATTTGATCAAACTTGGGTGAGGCAGTACCAGTAGAGGGCCCTAACCTTCCCTTTCCCTGGCCACATCAACTAGCTCTCACTGGGAGATACCCAGGCTCTCCCAGGCCAGCGTGGAGATGGACTCCTTCCACCTGGTCCTGGTAAAACTCTACCGAAGTCCTTCAAAGTCAGTACGATGCATCCTCTGGGGACCATGAATGTGTGATTATCCAGAGTGTACTCACAGAGTTAGGTAGGTCTCCGTCTCCTTCAGAATCCTCTGGGAGTCGAAGTGGTTTGAGGCGAGATGTTTGGCTCTGCTAACGATGGAGTTGATCTTCTCCGCCAGCTCCTTGGCCTCCTGCTCCAGCTGCTGATGCTCCTACACACACACACACACACACACACACACACACACACACACACACACACACACACACACCACACACACACACACACACACACACACACACACACACACACCACACACACACACACACACACACACACACACACACACACACACACACACACACACACACACACGCACACACACGCACACACACACACACACAGGGTTAGGGTTAGTCTCCAAATAAAGCATTTAGGCGTTAAACATACTTAAGTCAGAGTTGAACTAACCTTCAGAAGCTGTCGGCTGGAGCGAAGGTCGTGACCTTTGGCGGCGTTGTTCAGCATCCACTGGATCGCCTCAATCTTCAGCTTGGCATCCTGGGAAAAGAAGAAGGAACGTGAAGACATCAAAATGGCTGAAAGTGAGTTTCTTTTGAGCCCACAGCAGTGAATCATCTGTCAGTGTGTCACCTGCAGGAGCTCCATCAGCTGCTCCTGCTGTCCCGCCTGTCTCAGTTTGTCTCCTCTGTCGGCCATCTTGTCCTGAAGTCTCCTCCAGCGGCTGCTGAGCTGCGTCGACTTCCTGCTGATGCTCTGACTGTTGCTGTGCTCTTCAGAAAGCATCTCCTGCCCCAGCTGAACATGGGCAAGAAAAAGTATGTGAGCCCTTGTCTGGTTTTATGCATGTTATTTGTCATTATCTGATATTCATCTAAGTCACAAGTTTAGACATTTAATGACCATTTCATTTATAAACTCAGAGCGCTGGTTTCTTTAAACAGACTCAAAGTGACCAGTGGTTCTCAACTGGTCAGGCCTCGGGACCCACTTTTTACTTGGTCAATACATCGCGACCCAACATTTTGAAGCACTCAAATCTATTCAACAAAAAATCGTGCTGTAATATATACGCTTTTGAGCATACAATATTAATTAAAGTGAAGTACAGTGCATATATCCCTTATATCCCTTCACAGAACTAAAGTATGCTTTTAAAAAAGGTTTAATGAGATGATGGAATCAAAGCTGAACTATATAAAAAGGCACACATGCTGAAAACCCAACCCCAGCAGGGGGGTCAGGGGGGATTCTCCCCCAGGAGATTTTTAGAAATACTAACATAAACTACGCATTCTGGTACACTCTGAGAAGAAAATAAATAAATCTATTACTACCGGACATATTAATAATATTTTATGCCATTGTTTGTTTTTCACTTTGTTCTGACATCTTGCTGAGAGAAGAGCAAAGAGGAGATTAAATTGTGGGTAAGGGTAGATAGCTCCCATTGTTCTGTGACCTGTCAATCATCAAACCGGGGGTCATATTTCATTATGTGTTCATTTGTATCTGAAGTTGTACCCATGGATGTATAAAGATGTACAATCTTGATTCTGATTGGCCAGAAGACTCGAAAAAACATCAGCAAAGATATTTTATTGAGAAGATGATCGTGACAGAAGTTTTCAAAACCGTTTATGGTCTCCGGTACTTCCAGTCCAACGCCGACTGCATGCACAGCGTTAGAAAATCGGGCCTTCAAAATAAAAGTTTGACTTTTTCCCCCAAAAAAAAAAAAAAATTCAATTTTTTTTTTCCAACTTTTTTTTTCTTCACTCACACATCCGCGACCCACTCGAAACGGGTCCGCGACCCACCAGTTGAGAACCACTGCTCTAAATGACCTTGAAGCAGAACACTGTGGCTGTAAATGCTTTGGCTAACTTGTTGTATGACTGTGTTGTCATTGTGTGTTTTCAAATTGTCTGTAACGTATCGTCTACACGGTTCCGTCGCGTTGAAGCTTGCCGGTGGGCAACCAATCACATTAATCTCCCGCCCCGGACACACAAGCACACGGTTTGATTGGCTGGCGCTTGTACTGGCATATGATTTGATTGGCTGGCGCTTCCGTCGACGCTTGAAAAGTTGAACTTTTCTCAACTTCAGCGCGAGCAACGGAGGCAAAGGAACCACAATGCAGTTCGGCAAAGCGTGACGTCACCCTATTCAAAGTGAAGGGGAAGCGTCTCCGTTGAAGTGTGGACGTACCGTAACCGTGCTGTTATCATTCTTGGGTCAGGACTCTCTTGAAAAATAGATTGTTAATCTCAATGAGACCTATCCTGGTTAAATAAAGGTCAAATAAATAAATAAATAAATAAAACAAGGAAATTCCACCTGCTATTTTGCCACGTGTACATGCCTCATTAAAGCTTTGTTTACACAATGTGAGCTGGAGACTGGGAACCAATGAGCGTCAGTTTACCTGCACCAGTGTGTCCAGCCACACCTGGTTGGCCTGCATCTCTTTCTCCGCCGCCTCGTGCTTCTTCAGCTTCCTCAGGATGTTGGTCGGGTCGCGGTACGACTCGTCCTCCGCCACCTTAAACTTCTCCTCCATCCACAGCAGCAGCTCGTCTGCGTCTCTCTGGAACTCCTGTAGGATGAACCAATCAATGACGACTGAATTAACACTTAAGGAAATAACTAAATATGAGATAAGCGAACTACATTTGGACAGGAATTAAGATGTTTAACTCCCACTTAGCTCCAAAGCACTAATGCAGGGTCATCCTGGGTAAAAAGAAATGCTTACTACGTTGTAATACATATAATATATAATATACATACATACAATACGTACTTGCACACACATCTATACAATCGTGTACACATGTATCTCCTTAGATGCTCCATCAGTATGTGCATACGTGGCTGCTGACTTTCTTTAATGGCCATGGTGCTATAACTTTATAAAAACAATACCTGATATTTCTTTGAGGCCAGCAGCAGACTCCTCCTCTGACAGCTGCTCTCCTTCAGCTTCCTGTTGGCCTTCTGGAGGCTCCTGCTCCTCTCCTTGATGCTTCAAGATGAACTCAGTATTATCAGAAAACAGTAATACACACACACATCGGAAAATACTGAGAAGTGTTATTGATGTTTTGAGAAAGCTTGCCATAATCAGGACTTTCACAAAACGACATATTATTATACGTCTGGACCAGAGTTGGGTGTAACGCGTTACTGTAATAATATTACTTTTGTCGGTAACGGAGTAGTGTAACGCGTTACTTTTATAATTCAGTAATCACACTACAGTTACTAACATTGCCCCGACACGCGTTACTTCGTTACTTTTATAAAATCAGTCATAATCACACTGACAGACAAGAGGGGGTTCCGCCGCAGGTTTATATGTACGTAATCTGCGCGACTTGCACGTCCACATCTCCACGTGCAGTGCTGCATAAACATGGCTGAGTCAGCGATAACTTTCGAGGGGTGGAGGTCCGCCCATTATTTTGAGTTTGTCCGAAGAATAGACAGGAATGTGACGGTGAGGTGCAAACTGTGTCCAGGCCAGAAGCTGTTATCCACTGCTGCAAACACCACGTCAAACCTCAACAAACACCTGCAAAGAACACATGCTAAGGTGAAGCTAATAGCTAAGGACCCCCGAACCCAGAGTGAGGATGTTGTGAGTGCGCCGCCGCCGACTCCGAAGCAGCACAAATTAGAATTTGGAGGACCGGTAACCGAAGCAGAGATGGACAGGCTTGTAGCATCCTTCATAGTAGAGGTAATGTTGCCCATTTGCACAGTGGAATCACCATCGCATCGTTCAGAGATATACTGCGCAAAATACAGATAGCAGGAGATAGAGGACAGCCATAGTCAGAGCTATCTGGATCAGTCTTATGCGACAATGGAAACTGAACTAAAGAGAACATTTGAAACTTTAGCAGTCTGCGTGATCTGCCTGTAGGGAGGGGCTGGCCGGCCCTGCGAGTAAAGTAACGAGTAAAGTAACGAGTTACTTTATGTAGAGAGGAACGAAGTAGTGTAATATATTACTTTTTACATAAGTAATATGTAATATGTAATATATTACTTTTTTTTAGTAACGACCCCATCTCTGGTCTGGACGCTGTTGTTTCTGTTGTTGTTTCTGTTGTTGTTTCTGTTGTTGTTTCTGTTGTTGTTTCTGTTGTGTTCTCTTACTGTTTGGCAGCGTAGTGTTGCTGGTTGATGAGCTCTTGGCTGCGTTCAGTGAAAGTATCCACTCGTTGGTCCAAAGCCTTCAAGAGACCCTCCAGTTCCTCCTGTCGGCCCAGCAGACTGTGCACACCGTCCACTGAGTCCTGCAGCAACACACACACAGACATCATCAAAATACCACAAATTAAGAAACAAGGTCACAGACATCTAAGATGGGATGTAACTCTGTATTTAATGTGGGGATTGACTGGTGCACAAAAGAATGCTTTAGTCTCTGATTTGATGGCAATAATTTATATTTTCTGTTCAGAACGTGGTTGAGACAATGTTAATATGTGATTACGAAGATTTGCTAGCGTGAACTGTGGACTCGCCGGAGCCTCGCAGCGGGGGTAATACGCAGGCTACTAGGGCTGTGCAATTAATCGTATTTTAATCGCAATTACGATTTTGGCCTGCCACAATTACGAAAACAACATAATCAAAAAAAATAATTATTTAGCTTTGCTTGGTTGTGACCGTGCAACATATTTGATCTAATTTATTTTGGACTAATTTATTTTTATTTATCATATTTATATATGTTTAGTAGCTTGTGGAAGTGCGCTCCAAAATATTTGTTGATCTTGTTTATTGGTATTTATTATTTTGATATTATTTATTTAAATGTAAATATATATTTATCATTTATTTAATTATTTTTGTATTGGTTTTTCAGTTGAATTATACGTTCAGGGTAATCAACAGTTAAAAAGATACTGTTCAAATTATTATTTGTATTTGTTTTAAAGTTCAATAAATGGATGTTTTCAAAGTCAATGAATAATCGTATTTAATAATCGTGATATCAATTATTGACCAAAATAATCATGATTATGATTTTTGCCATAATCGCACAGCCCTACAGGCTACTGTCCCCGCAGCTGCTGCCTCTCTGTTGGACTCCGGTACTACTCACGAGACGTTTCTCAGCTAAACATTCGGGGCTTTTCAGAAAAGATCCGGGGCTTCTAGTCACACCCTAGCGCCGCCACCGATCCACGCGCCTCGAAAGATCAAGGTGGATTTGCCCTTTGACAGATATATTAAATGTGGTCTTTTCAGGATAGAAGATGTTCGCTCATTACATCTAAGTATTTATATCAAAGAAACTTTTTGTTATGTGTGTCTTGCTTTTATATCTCAATGCACTGTAGATATATATTTATGTTATAATATAAAACAGGCATGTGTAGCGCCTCCTCACCCCAACGTCCTGCACCCTCAGTCGGGCTTCGTGTCCGGACAGCGTCGCCTCGATCCGGTCTCCTTCCTGGTTCAGCCTCTGGAGCTCCACCCCCTGCTCCAAACGCTCCTTCCTATTGGCCCACAGCTTGTCCAGCTTACACCAATCAGCTTTGAGCTTGTCCAGGGTTTGCTGGACGTCGACGTCTCCCGCCTTCCCATTGGACGAGCCCTGCTGGAGAGATTTCCCCAACTTCTCCATCTCTTTTAACCTGAGAGCACAAAGAATAAGGTGTATTAATTAATTTACAGCGACAAATATTATTAATATATCACATATTACAAATGAACTAAGCCTAAAAACCTTTTTCTCATTCTTCAAAGTTAAATGTTATTATATATAGAGGGGGGAGGGAGGGGAGAGACACACACACACACACACAGTCTTGCACTAATGTACATTTATCAAAGATATTGAAGTGACTGTTATTTTGTATATATTAATTGTTGTGTCTTAATGTGTGCATATGTATAAATGTGTCTGTTGATTGTGTATATATATATATATATATATACATATTTGTATACATATTTTTATACTGTATATATTTGTATTTTGTATTCGGGATTGTGGGAAATTTCGATCTCTGTCTGTACACACAAACTCAAAGCTTGACAATAAAGTTGACTTTGACTATATTGCACGTGACAGTGTTGTCCAGGTGAGGTTTACCTGCGCCTCTGCTCCTCCATCTCCAGCTGGAGATCCTGGTGTTGCTCCAGCAGGGCGACGGCGGATGCTACGTCAGTGGCCGTCTCGTCCTGAAGGAGGCGCTCCTGGACAGATTGGGTCCAGCGCTGCAGCTCCTTGGACTCCTGCTGGAAGCTCTGCAGCCTCCGAGCCTCCTCCAGCAGCCGCTGTCTGTCTGCAGCCTGACGCTTCAACTGGACCACAGGGACACAGTGTACTTTGTAGATACAGTAGGTGCTAAAACAAGTTGAAAGGCTTCTGGGTAAGCAGCTGAAAAAAGTAATGTTTTTAGCCTCGACTTAAAAGAACTCAGCGTTGGTGAAGACCTCAGGGTTTCTGGAAGTTTGTTGCACTTTGACTTGCTTTATGTGAAATGTGCTTCATAAATAAATGTGACTTGTCTGGTGTGAACTCTAATTGTAGGTTTTCATACATGTGTAGCTGTAGTGTTGATTTTAAAATCCTTTTATTTGTTTTCAAAGCACTAAATGGGCTGGCTCCGGCCTATATAGCTGAACTCCTCCAGCGCTACACCCCAGCCAGAGCTTTAAGGTCTGCTGACCAGCTGCTGCTGGTAGTGCCCAAGACCAGGCTCAAAACCCGAGGGCACCGAGCCTTCTCAGCAGCTGGCCCCAGGCTCTGGAACACTCTGCCCCTCCATGTGAGGTCGGCCCAGACCCTAGGGGTTTTTAAATCAAAACTAAAAACACACTTATTCTCTCTGGCTTTCTAGTTAGAGCGGAGCACGACTCCTGACTTTTCCGTGTGTTTTATTTTTATTTTTTTTATATAAATCTGTTGTAATTTATTGTCTTTTATTGTGATTGTAGTAATGTGTTTTTATTACATGTACAGCACTTTGGCTCGACCAAAAATCGCTTTTAAATGTGCTTTATAAATAAAACTTGATTTGATTTGATTTGATTTGATTTGTAGCCTCAGGCAGACATTTATCAAAGAATATCTTAACAGTCTGTGATGAAGGAAATCCTCGAACCTGATTGAGCAGAACCTCCAGACCCCGGACCTCCTCTGCGATCGCTGCGCTCTCCTCTGGACTGCAGTCCTGCTTCCTGTCATACAGAAAATACACATCATGGACTAGAACAGGGGAGTCAAACTCAATTTCATCGCGGACCACATTAGCATTATGGTTGCACTCAAAGGGCTGGTTGTAACTTTAAGAATATAAAAATATACATTTATAAATATATAATATATTAGGGGTGTAACGGTATCTGTATTCGTCCTGAACCGTCACGGTTCGGACGTCACGGTTCGGCACATGCAGTCAAGGTTCAAGGTTCTTTATTGTCAATCTGACATAGCTACAGAGTAATTATGTAGTTGAAAATCTTATGTCACAGGCTTCTCCAACAATGCAACATAAGTCACACGACGAATACGCCTTTTTATGAGAGGGAAAAAAGTCTGTCACTCAGGGCAGTATCCACTACACTATATATAATCCAGGGGGCGGTATTGCGCCTAAAAGCTGTTTGCCAGTCGCCCTTAAACAACAAATGAAGAACAAGAAGAAAACACAACAAAACGAACAAATCGGACGAGGACGGTGTGTCGGCGTTGTTCGGCAGCGGTGCGGTATGCTAATGTTAACACACGCCAAACATGCTAAATCATATCAGAAGGCATCACCCAGATTTGCCAATCACCGGAGCCCGGCAAAAGACAACAGCAGTTCAACAGCTCATCCCCGCTGCTTTTAAGAAGCCAATAGACATGCAAGCCGAGAGACCAAAATAAATAACGGAAGCTATTGGCATATATATTTCAACGGCTATGCTGCGCCCTCGAAACACTTTCTTATTATATATTTTGTAATATTTTCTATATATAACAGCTTGATGAAACCTTTTTGTTTGACATCAGCCATTATAGATAATACGGCCATCTGAGTGTGTGTGGTACTGTTTGGGGTTTGTTTGTAACTTTGTAATGCAGTTAATTATTCAAAATGTTAGAGTTTCTTATTTTTAAACTGAAAAATAAATAACAACAAACCTGGAATTATGCATTTGGGACTTTATTTAGCTTTTTCTTGTTGTACCGAACCCGTACCGAACCGTGACCCCCAAACCGAGGTACGTACCGAACCGTGAATTCTGTGAACCGTTACACCCCTATCATATATATAAAATAATGTATTATATGACATAATTGCAAATAATTGTTAGTCTCTTCATTTGGCATGTCACAAAATGAGATGCATTGTGGGACATGTAGTTTATGGGCAACGTCCTTCTGTAAAGCGGCATGTAACCGTATAATAAACAAATGATATTCTTTGCACCGTACATCTTGGCGACGCTCTTCAGATAAGCGATCTTGGCCTCGAGGGTCTGGATGTCCCTGAGGGTCTGACTCTGGGTCTTCTCCTCGCCCAGCAGAGTGAAGGAGCTGCAGCCCAGGTCCACGGTGCCGAGGCCGGACAGCTGGCCCTGAAGCTGAACTTTCGCCTCCTCGCAGCTCTGCAGGAACGACTTCACGTCCGCCGTGCTCAGCAGCTCGTGACCTTTCTCGTCCTTCAGCTGCTGGATCCGATCCCACCTGCAGACACAAGAAGAAGAAGAAGAATGGGAGGGATGAACCCCTCTGTAATGGTCACACATGCAGAGCACACAGTGACATTTGTTATCTGCTTTTAACCCATCCTAGTACCAGGAGCAGTGGGCAGAGGGATGGGAGATTAAATACAGATCAACTCGGAATGTCCTCAATTTTATTGTTCAAATAATTTTTAGTCACTAGTAAAACTCTAACACAGAGAAGACCTGACTATGCTGCCCCAGAACGCCTCGTTGGACATTTCTCATTTTCCATTGTTTTCTTCCTGGGTAGAGTGACGTGCCCATACCCAAATGGACCAATCCGTGGAGCCGTTACGTTACGTCTGTGGATTGGACTTCCTCACACACACACACTCAATCTTTTCTCAGCTGCAGCTCCGCCGATTTCTCCTCCCTGAGACGGCGGGACGCGGCGAGGCTGTGAGTCGGTGTGTGAGCACACACACAAACTCCCAGCCAGGCTGCGGGTGTGTGTGTGTGTGTGTGTGTGTGTTCGGGCTGGGTTTCGCTGTGTCTCGCTGTCTCGCAGACGGCCACTGGGCTCACAGGGAGGGGGGGGGGGGGGGGGCAGGAGCTCCAACAAGCCGTTTAGGACAGAGAGTGAATACACATGCTATACAGAGATGGGTATACTATAATTTAAATTAATAAATATGAATGATGAAAAATGTATAAATAACAGCAGATAAATACACAAATAAGTAAAAATAAATACATGAAAAATACAAATAAATTAAAACATTAAAAAAAATTATAGAATCATTAATAATAAATAAATGTTGAAATGTGTGCAAATGTGTATTTTGAAGGTGGAAATACTAATAATGATTGGGGAGTGGGGTAATGTGGATCTCTACTGTATTAGTACAGTAATCGCATCAATGCTACCCTACCCCAGTAGCCCCGCCTTTGGACCCTTTATTACACGGTAGTTCTTAGTTCAGGACGCGTCAGGGTTTACCTGTTGGAGACCCTCCTCTGCATGCTCTGGATCTCTCTCTGTTTGCTGTGTCGACTCTTCACCAGCTCCTCCGCCATGTTGATGATGTCATCCAACTGGCCCCGCCCACTCACCAGCTCAGTCAGGAAGTTCTGAAGAAAGTCAAATCTTAGATGTTAATATTATACTAAAGGAACTGCTGGTTTAAGTTGATGTCGTATTTTCAAAAGAATTCAGTCCAGTCGGGTCTTTAACTTTTAAAAACTATTTATCATTAAGAGTTTTTTAATTCAAGTCTAATATCCAAAAAGCTATATTCCAGGTGTTATTTAAAATCTAAAAGTAGTGTCTTGGCTTATCTGCTTTTGATGACCAGTTATAATGAAAAATGTTTTTAATTTCTGTGCAGAAGCTAGGTAATCTGAGGGGAACATGCAGAGATATTAGACATTTACGTTTGCTATATTAGATTAAATCCCTCTTTCTTTGAGATTTCCCAAACATGTTGTATTCCCTTAACACTAGAACCGCCAATCGGGTCAATTTGACCCAGAGCTGTTTTTTATTGTGTGTAACTTTTTTCAATAAAATATTAAAGTCTTCCAGTCCGTGACTTTTCCTGAAAGTGTGTTATGTAGCACCCTATGTTGTTAAAAATGGTCAATATGAAGTCAGATTGAAGAAATCGCCCAAAAAATTGCCATTTATACCTATTTCCGCCCAGCGGGTCATATTGACCCCACCCCTTTTCATATAAACATGACGTGTTGCTATAGCAACGCCTTTTGTCTACTGCGGTTCCTTATAGACTGAGTGATAGATTGAGAGAGAGATAGATGGATAGATATATTGATAGATAGTTATAGAGAGAGAGAGAGAGAGAGAGATAGAGACAGTCTGTAGTGAAGGAGTGCGCTCCCGTTCACGGGAGACTGCTCGCGCTGTGCTCCGCAGCAAACAGCTGTGGGGCGAGTTGAAAGTACGTTATGCTGGCCGCGGTGTCTAAATAATGCTTCCGGGCCAGCGGGCCATTTATAATGTCGAGCCCTGAGAGTCCACAGATTATATTGGTATACGTTTCATCCCTGTGCGATCAAAACTCTCTGTTCAATAAAAGAACATTTTACCTTGAAAATCAATGCATTCTAATAGCGGGTCAATTTGACCCAGGTGGCGGTTTTAGGTATAAAAAATCTCTGGCGGTTCTAGTGTTAATCAATGAGCATGATTTAAAGACTTTAAAATAATGACATCTTCACCTCGAATTTAGCCTGAACCACTACCAGGTTGTCTGCGTCGGAGCTGAAGGTGTTCAGGATGTTCTCCTTGTCCTCCATCCACGACTCAAACTCCTGGCAGCTGTTGTAGAAACGATGAAGACGCAGCGTCTCCTGCAGACTCCTCGTCTTCGACTGCAGACAAAAGGTGGGGAAATGTTATCAACAATACAGTAGACTGGATTACTATAATGGTGTCTTTACAGGCCACTCACAAAAAAATCCATAGACAGCTGCAGCTAATTTAAAGTGGACCTATCATGCTATATTTGAATAATATAGTGTAGGACCATACCTATATAAGGCATATTTATACTTTTCTGTTTTCAAAATACCAAACAGATCATGCATTTTAGCCATGCCTCATTTCGCTCAATTTGACATTTTTTAGATCTGTTTTAGCAAGGGCAGATTCAGTGAGAACAGCACCACCTACAGGCCTGGCATATGTACTACAGCGTCTCCAGCGCTTTCGAACGGCAATGGCCGTGGCTGTCTCCTCCTGATTGGTGGAGTTGGCCCAATAGCCGTAGCGCCACCGTCCTGACGTCAGGACAGTGTTCAAATCTGGATCAGTTTTTATCAGATCCGTTGCAGCCCCCTTTTTTAGAGATTTGGGTATGGAGGAAAATAGAGAGGGTTGTGTTTTCTGACACTTGGTGAGTTCCCTGGAACACCGGGGACACATATTCATGTAGAAAAGACGTACACAAGTGCATTTTGCATGATAGGTCCCCTTTAAGTAAAAAGTCAGTTATTATGCTCCATGTATCTGGAACAAACTCCCAGAAAATCTCATTTCTTTCAATCAACTACCTTTGATTCATTTAATAGCTAATCATATTTTAAACTGCAATGTAACTTTTATTCTTGTATTTTATGTAAGGGATAATGTGCAGCGAGGCACATGAGCCTGTCGGGTGTTCTTTTCCCCATAATGACCAAGTCGCTGCACATTATCCCGCTTATTACACGGCCAGATACTAAACAAACTAACGACTCGACTCCCAATATTAATTAAAATGATTTTATTGATTTAGAAAATGTTTTTATTGATTGACAATCAATGACATGCATCCGCTACGAAAAATAGTCCGTTGTTGCTATTTGAACTAGGCTACGTTGCAACGGCAGGAACTGCTTCGATAGCAACGAACTATGTGCAGGTTAGCATTTGAGCCTGAGCTGTAATTAACATTTACTTGAACGTTTCCATTAATAGTGCAATGTGGCAAATCTTTAGGGATATTCAGATCGACGTTTCTGTCCTCGATCCTCAAAGTAACTGGCAACTGAATAGGTTTTGCCGTTTGAGGTCTGGACCGTTGCGTAAAAGGACCGCAGCTGCGTGTTGAGGGTTTCTGCCCCGTAGCTGTCAAACTCTGTTGGTTGTTTTTTTTCAATCAGCCACTCTTTAAATAGTTTCGTAGCCCATAATGTGTTCCGTTTTGTATTCAATTCATGCCTGTCCTCTTCAATTTGGTCGATTTCTCTGTCATTCAAATCTCTGTGTCTTTTCGCCTCTCTTACTTCTCCGCTGTTTTCTTGTCCCGCTTGTCTTTTTCTTTTCTTCACTGGGAACTCATCAGCCCCTAACCATTCCTCCAAATGACTGTGCTCTCCAAATATATTAAAAGTAATGTTAAAATCCTCCATGTTGCTATCACACGACAGCGGAAAACTAAAGACAAGCAGACAGTTTGCTTTTCAAACTGTTACATTTGAAAAACAGTTAAATCGACCGAACTTCTTTGTGCAGATGTGAGCGTCCTTAACAACGGTCAATAAATCCTTGACAGCGGTCTGTCTGTTCTGGATTAACAGCGTGTCACATGTTCTGAATTGACCAATCAGAATTGAGTATTCAACTAAGCCATGTAATAAACCTGTCTTATTGTATTTTAGTGTTCATCTGTACTGAAATGGGCCATCACGAGTATTTGTACTCTTGGTACGTTAAGTATACTTTAATGCCAATACTTTTGTACATGTGAGATTTGAATGCAGGACTTTAATTAGTGCCAGAATACTTTCCCAAGAGTCAGTATTGCTTCTTTACTGAAGTGGAAAGTTCTTCTGCAAACAACTAGAAAATCTTACTTTTCATGGAAGCTGCTTTAAATGTTCTCTGCATCATCACAACTTCCTTTCTTCAGGCTTGAGTTTAATCTTCACACACACTCCAGTGTAATCAAACTACATTTCCCAGCTGCCCCCTCACCTTCACCAGGTTGTACAGGGAGTTGTAGTCTTTGTCCAGGCCGGCCTGTGTGCTCTCCACAGTGTCTCTCTGGTACTGAGCGTCTGGCAGCCATGTTGTTTGGATCTCAGCGGTGCCGCGACGCATCGAGCGTCTGCGTCTCGGACGACTCAACTTCCTGTTCGGGCTCTCTTGCTCGCCATTGGTGGAGATGGGCTCAGAGGGGGGAGGAGCCTGAGCAGAAAGAGGAATGAAGAGGATGATTTGACTCATACTTACTTAGTCCCCTATTATACTGTTTCTCATCAATATATCACAGGTCTCAGATATATACAGAGCCTGTCTCTGATTGGCTGAAACACCAAACAGATCATTGCAGCATTACCCATAGACCCCTCTGTTTCAGCCCTGTTTCAAAAGTGCTGATTCTCTGTCTGTTACTTCAGGACAAAAAGAGAGAGAATCTTTGTTCCTGAAACTTTCAGAATCTCTTCACACAGAGGGGACACATGTTGATGAAGAAGAGACATGAAGAAGAGGGGACACATGTTGATGAAGAAGAGACATGAAGAAGAGACGACACATGTTGATGTAGAAGAGACATGAAGAAGAGGGGACACATGTTGATGTAGAAGAGACATGAAGAAGAGGGGACACATGTTGATGTAGAAGAGACATGAAGAAGAGGGGACACATGTTGATGAAGAAGAGACATGAAGAAGAGGGGACACATGTTGATGAAGAAGAGACATGAAGAAGAGGGGACACATGTTGATGTAGAAGAGACATGAAGAAGAGGGGACACATGTTGATGTAGAAGAGACATGAAGAAGAGGGGACACATGTTGATGTAGAAGAGACATGAAGAAGAGGGGACACATGTTGATGTAGAAGAGACATGAAGAAGAGGGGACACATGCTGATGAAGAAGAGACATGAAGAAGAGGGGACACATGTTGATGAAGAAGAGACATGAAGAAGAGGGGACACATATTGATGTAGAAGAGACATGAAGAAGAGGGGACACATGTTGATGTAGAAGAGACATGAAGAAGAGGGGACACATGTTGATGTAGAAGAGACATGAAGAAGAGGGGACACATGTTGATGTAGAAGAGACATGAAGAAGAGGGGACACATGTTGATGTAGAAGAGACATGAAGAAGAGGGGACACATGTTGATGTAGAAGAGACATGAAGAAGAGGGGACACATGTTGATGAAGAAGAGACATGAAGAAGAGGGGACACATGTTGATGAAGAAGAGACATGAAGAAGAGACATGAAGAAGAGGGGACACATGTTGATGTAGAAGAGACATGAAGAAGAGGGGACACATGTTGATGTAGAAGAGACATGAAGAAGAGGGGACACATGTTGATGAAGAAGAGACATGAAGAAGAGGGGACACATGTTAGACCTTGATGTAGAAGAGACATGAAGAAGAGGGACACTGTTGATGTAGAAGAGACATGAAGAAGAGGGGACACATGTTGATGTAGAAGAGACATGAAGAAGAGGGGGACACATGTTGATGTAGAAGAGACATGAAGAAGAAGGGGGACACATGTTGATGATAGAAGAGACATGAAGAAGAGGGGACACATGTGATGAAGAAGAGACATGAAGAAGAGGGGACACATAGTTGATGTAGAAGAGACATGAAGGAAGAGGGGACACATATTGATGTAGAAGAGACATGAAGAAGAGGGGACACATGTTGATGTAGAAGAGACATGAAGAAGAGGGGACACATGTTGATGTAGAAGGACATGAAGAAGAGGGGGACACATGTTGATGTAGAAGAGACATGAAGAAGAGGGGACACATGTTGATGTAGAAGAGACATGAAGAAGAGGGGACACATGTTGATGTAGAAGAGACATGAAGAAGAGGGGACACATGTTGATGAAGAAGAGACATGAAGAAGAGGGGACACATGTTTGATGTAGAAGAGACATGAAGAAGAGGGGACACATGTTGATGAAGAAGAGACATGAAGAAGAGGGGACACATGTTGATGAAGAAGAGACATGAAGAAGAGGGGACACATGTTGATGAAGAAGAGACATGAAGAAGAGGGGACACATGTGATGAAGAAGAGACATGAAGAAGAGGGGACACATGTTGATGAAGAAGAGACATGAAGAAGAGGGGACACATGTTGATGAAGACGAGACATGAAGAAGAGGGGACACATGTTGATGAAGACGAGACATGAAGAAGAGGGGACACATGTTGATGAAGACGAGACATGAAGAAGAGGGGACACATGTTGATGAAGACGAGACATGAAGAAGAGGGGACACATGTTGATGAAGAAGAGACATGAAGAAGAGGGGACACATGTTGATGAAGAAGAGACATGAAGAAGAGGGGACACATGTTGATGAAGAAGAGACATGAAGAAGAGGGGACACATGTTGATGAAGAAGAGACATGAAGAAGAGGGGACACATGCTGATGAAGAAGAGACATGAAGAAGAGGGGACACATGTTGATGAAGAAGAGACATGAAGAAGAGGGGACACATGTTGATGAAGACGAGACATGAAGAAGAGGGGACACATGTTGATGAAGACGAGACATGAAGAAGAGGGGACACATGTTGATGTAGAAGAGACATGAAGAAGAGGGGACACATGTTGATGTAGAAGAGACATGAAGAAGAGGGGACACATGCTGATGAAGAAGAGACATGAAGAAGAGGGGGACACATGTTGATGTAGAAGAGACATGAAGAAGAGGGGACACATGTTGATGTAGAAGAGACATTTTGAAGAAGAGGGGACACATGTTGATGAAGAGAGACATGAAGAAGAGGGGACACATGTTGATGTCAGAAGAGACATGAAGAAGAGGGGACACATGTTGATGTAGAAGAGACATGAAGAAAGAGGGGACACATGTTGATGAAGAAGAAGAGGGACCCATGTTGATGAAGAGAGACATTGAAGAAGAGGGGACACATGTGATGAAGAAGAGACATGAAGAAGAGGGGACACATGTGATGTAGAATAAGAGACATGACGAAGATGGGGACACATGTTGATGTAGAAGAGACATGAAGAAGAGGGGACACATGTTGACTGTAGAAGAGACATCGAAGAGAGGGGACACATGTTGAGAAGAACGATGGGGAACATGTTGATGAAGAAAGAGACATGAAGAAGAGGGGACACATGTGGATGAGAAGGAAGGACATGAAGAAGAGGGGACACATGTTGATGAGAAGAGACATGAAGAAGAGGGGGACACATGTTGATGTAGAAGAGACATGAAGAAGAGGGGACACATGTTGATGAAAGAAGAGACCATGAAGAAGAGGGGACACATGTTGATGTAGACGAGACATGAAGAAGAGGGGACACATGTTGATGTAGAAGAGACATGAAGAAGAGGGGACACATGTTGATGAAGAGGAGCATGAAGAAGAGGGGGACACATGTTATGTAGAAGAGGACATGAAGACCATGAAGAAGAGGGGACACATGTTGATGAAGAAGAGACATGAGAAGGGACAATGTTGATGAAGAAGAGACATGAAGAAGAGGGGACACATGTTGATGTAGAAGAGACATGAAGAAGAGGGGACACATGTTGATGAAGAAGAGACATGAAGAAGAGGGGACACATGTTGATGAAGAAGAGACATGAAGAAGAGGGGACACATGTTGATGTAGAAGAGACATGAAGAAGAGGGGACACATGTTGATGTAGAAGAGACATGAAGAAGAGGGGACACATGTTGATGAAGAAGAGGGGACACATGTTGATGAAGAAGAGACATGAAGAAGAGGGGACACATGTTGATGAAGAAGAGACATGAAGAAGAGGGGACACATGTTGATGTAGAAGAGACATGAAGAAGAGGGGACACATGTTGATGTAGAAGAGACATGAAGAAGAGGGGACACATGTTGATGTAGAAGAGACATGAAGAAGAGGGGACACATGTTGATGAAGAAGAGACATGAAGAAGAGGGGACACATGTTGATGTAGAAGAGACATGAAGAAGAGGGGACACATGTTGATGTAGAAGAGACATGAAGAAGAGGGGACACATGTTGATGAAGAGGAGACATGAAGAAGAGGGGACACATGTTGATGTAGAAGAGACATGAAGAAGAGGGGACACATGTTGATGAAGAAGAGACATGAAGAAGAGGGGACACATGTTGATGAAGAAGAGACATGAAGAAGAGGGGACACATGTTGATGAAGAAGAGACATGAAGAAGAGGGGACACATGTTGATGTAGAAGAGACATGAAGAAGAGGGGACACATGTTGATGTAGAAGAGACATGAAGAAGAGGGGACACATGTTGATGAAGAAGAGACATGAGGAAGTGGGTTTTGCATAATATGTGACCTTTAAGAGAAGTGATCTTAAGGGATGGTGGATGTGATATACATGCTATAGATTGTACCGTGGCAGGCAGCAGGCTGAGGTAGGTTTTGGGGATGAGCTGCTGGTTTCCTCGACTGTCTTTGGCCAGAACTCGGTCTCCATCCGGCTCAGTGCCGACGATGCTTACTATCTCATTACGATCCCACGGAAACTGACCTGAAATCAGTTCAGATAAACAGACAATGTTGGACAACTGTCTGCCTTTAATAGTCTACAACCAAGTGTAAACACAGTAGCTTTTTTTTTTACTGGAAGTTATTTAAAAGTAAGAATGTACAATAAGAAAACGAAAGAATCAAAATATATTTATATGAACATAGGAAGTTAAAGTAGATGTTTTGTTCCCATCATGCCCTGTTATGACACAGCGAGCAGATCTCTGTGGAGGAAATTCTTAAGAGAAACTGATCAATTATTCATAGACAAAGTTTGTCTTTTGTTATATTTAATAAAGTAATAAAGAAAGTCAATATAAAAGTGAAATCGATCCCAAATGTAGGAACAGAGATACTCCATCCTCAGAGGATAGAGAAGTTCTGTACCCTGAACACAGCTCACAGTCACATTATATAGTAGAGAATATCCAACTGGTCCCACCCTTAACACTAGAACCGCCAACGGGTACGTTTTACCCGCAGCTGTTTTTTGATTGTATGTAACTTTTTTTCAATACAATATTAAAGTCTCCCAGTCCGTGACTTTTCCTGAAAGTGTGTTACAGTATGTAGCACCCTCTGTTGTTAAAAATTGTCAATATGAAGTCAGATTGAAAAGATTGCCCAAATAATTGCCATTTATACCTATATCCGCCAGCGGGGTAATATTTAACTCGTAGAAAATGCAGCGTAAACATGACGTGTGCTATAGCAACGCCTTTTGTCTACTGCGGGTTCCATATATAGGATAGGTGGATGGATGGATGGATGGATGGATGGATGATGGATGGATGATGGATGGATGGATGATGGATGGATGATGGATGGATGGATGGATGGATGGATGGATGGATGGATGGATGGATGGATGATGGATGGATGATGGATGGATGGATGGTGATGGATGGATGGATGGATGGATGGGATGGATGGATGGATGGATGGATGGATGGATGGATGGATGGATGGATGGATGATGGATGGATGGATGGATGGATGATGGATGGATGGATGATGATGGATGGATGATGGATGGATGGATGATGGATGGATGGATGGATGGATGGATGATGGATGGATGATGGATGGATGGATGGATGGGATGGATGGAGGATGGATGGATGGATGGATGATGGATGGATGGATGATGGATGGATGGATGATGGATGGATGATGGATGGATGGAGATGGATGGATGGATGGATGGATGGATGGATGGATGGAGATGGATGATGGATAGAGAGAGAGAGAGAGAGAGAGAGAGAGAGAGAGAGACAGATAGACAGTGTAACATCTTGGAGAATACAAGATCTTGGATGACTGAGCTCACGTTGAGGACGTAATGCATGTGTGCAGGTTACGTGCCAGTTGAATAAAGATGGACACTCGGAATGAGAGAAGTAGTCCGCGTCGTCTGTTTATGTAGACAATTATATGTCCATAGAACAGAACATTACAGATAGATAGTTATAGATAGATAGAGAGAGAGATAGAGAGATTTGTACCTAAACAAAACACAAGTCTAACACCAAGCGTTTAAATCAGCACTGGTAGCGATATTTTATACTTCATGCTATCTGCACAAACTATATCATATGGAAAGCTGAGAGTCCACAGATTCTATTGGTATAAGTTTCATCCCTGTGCGATCAGAACTCACTGTTCTGTATGATAAATAAAAGAACATTGTACCTTGAAAATCAATAGCGGGTACATTTTACCCGTTGGCGGTTTTAGGTACACAGCGACCTCTGGCGGTGCTAGTGTTAAATTCCCTTAGCCATCATCCCCATCATTAAACCATAAAACCCTCTCGTCCTTTAACCATTTGCAAATCCACCTTTTACTTCCTTTGCCCTCCAGAAATGTAAACCCTTAACACATGTCTCTGTTAAACACATACAAGACGACAAATACAATTTAACAGTGTAAAAGGCAATCAGAGTATAAGACTATATGTTTTAAATGATTATATGATCATTTGACACGACGACCTCCATACCTCTGCTGTATTTGAAGCGGACCTTGGCCTTGCTGTCCTCGCTCTGAGAGTCTCTGGTTCCCTTGCCTCTCCTCACAGCAGGCTGAGGTGACGTCACCTTTCCTCCATCCTCCTCGTCTCCTGAGGAGTCGCTGTACTGGATCATCTTACTCTGCTGAGGCTCCGCCTACACAGGAAGAGAGTTGGCATTGTTACGATCTGTTTACTTTCAGTTTTATTTTGAATTATCACAGTCTGTCCGTTTCCTGTTTGACTTTGAAAGGTGTTCACCCCCTGTCTGTCCTGTCTGTGTCTTCCCTGTCTTGTCGTCTTGATTGGTCATGTATGTATTTAAGTTCTGGTTTTCTGTTGGGGTCTTGTGGGTTCGTTTTACAAACTAAGAGGGAAGGAGTCTGTTTTTGCACATCCAGTCACCTTGAATAAAGGTTATTTTTGGTTTAAACACTTGTCTGTGTGCACTTGGGTCCATCCTGCGCTGCTCAACCCTGACAGGCATATATATATATTTTTTAGCTCCTGACTGGACCATTATTTCTGTCTACCGTTACCCACCTAGCGAACACACATGGGCTTCTGTTTATCTGCTTGTAAAGTGTCAATATAGAAGGTTTAATTACTTTGTGGAATACCTGACCTCTAGCTAGTAGCCTGACTGTACGACTCTCACAAAAGGGCCCTTTGTACAATTATTCTAACCAAGCATCATTTGTTGTTATTATTTTTATTTTATGATCGCTGTAGTGTCTGATTGGTAATCTTACCCCTTTGTATTTTTCTGTTTTCTTTTAACCAGGAACACTTAACTAACATGTTTTGTAGCCTGACCTTCCTCTTTCTGTATGCTGTACCATGTGAGCTATGTACCATGTGAGCTGTGTACCATGTGAGCTGTGTACCATGTGAGCTATGTACCATGTGAGCTGTGTACCATGTGAGCTGTGTACCATGTGAGCTATGTACCATGTGAGCTATGTACCATGTGCGCTATGTACCATGTGAGCTATGTACCATGTGAGGTATGTACCATGTGAGCTGTGTACCATGTGAACTATGTACCATGTGAGCTGTGTACCATGTGAGCTGTGTACCATGTGAGCTATGTACCATGTGAGCTGTGTACCATGTGAGCTGTGTACCATGTGAGCTGTGTACCATGTGAGCTGTGTACCATGTGAACTATGTACCATGTGAGCTGTGTACCATGTGAGCTGTGTACCATGTGAGCTGTGTACCATGTGAGCTGTGTACCATGTGAGCTGTGTACCATGTGAACTATGTACCATGTGAGCTATGTACCATGTGAACTATGTACCATGTGAGCTATGTACCATGTGAACTATGTACCATGTGAGCTGTGTACCATGTGAGCTGTGTACCATGTGAGCTGTGTACCATGTGAGCTGTGTACCATGTGAGCTGTGTACCATGTGAGCTGTGTACCATGTGAGCTGTGTACCATGTGAACTATGTACCATGTGAGCTGTGTACCATGTGAGCTGTGTACCATGTGAGCTGTGTACCATGTGAGCTGTGTACCATGTGAGCTGTGTACCATGTGAACTATGTACCATGTGAGCTATGTACCATGTGAGCTGTGTACCATGTGAGCTATGTACCATGTGAACTATGTACCATGTGAGCTGTGTACCATGTGAGCTGTGTACCATGTGAGCTATGTACCATGTGAGCTGTGTACCATGTGAGCTGTGTACCATGTGCGCTATGTACCATGTGAGCTATGTACCATGTGAGCTGTGTACCACTTGTGTTCATAAATAAAACTTTAATAACAAAAATATAGAAGGTTCAGTTCTCTGTACTTACAGTCAGAGCTGTTCGCTGCGCGGCGCTCCTCGCTTGCTCTGAAAGTCTCTTTATCTCCGAAGCGTAGGCAGACATTTCCCTCTCGATCCTCTGGTGTCGCTGCAGCAACGCCGCCGTGCTCGACTCATCTTTCCCATGATCCTCGCTGGTTAGAAGCGGTTTCCTGTCGCCAAGCCAGGACTCGGCCTCCGCCACATCTGCAAAGTACTGAAACGAGGAAAATTAGAAAGCGATCACAGGGGTAGACATTAAAGGTGGGGTAGGTAATTTTGGAGAAACCAGCTCGAGATCGCTAGAATTTGAAAATACACAACTGGAAAAAATCTTCCACTTCCTTACAGAGCCCCTCCTCCAACACACACGAACGCGCACATGACCAATGAGGGCACGAGATAAGTTTGTGCACAGATGGAAGGCTGACAGGCAGGTAGGCCATCCAGTTATTTTAGCCGGGCCGGCTCAGATGATTGGTCGTGCTTTTTACAGTACTACAGCTTCCACAGATGATATTTATTAATGGATTTTTTGTCAAAGCACTTCAGATATTCATTGCTATCGGGATGTTAAGAGCATTCCATGGAATATAACAAAAAGTGTATCTCGAGCCGGTTTCTCAAACTTACATACCCCACCTTTAAGGGTAAAATTCCATTCCGGCTTGTATTATCACTGGCCCCACCATTGTAACCACTGACCCGGAGCATTCGTCAAAAAAAATCGACTAATAATGAAGAAAATGAACTCATTTGTTGCAATAGTAATTTATGCACAAACTACAACATTTGAATCATCAGTTCTTCCTCATTTTCCTCAATTGTTCATATTTGGTTTATTAAAATAATTATATTGTGGTCATTGTTAAAAAATGTCTGCTATTATCATTATTATGAGTATTATTATTTGTATAATGCGCTTTCTGCCTTCCTGCCATCAGGAGTTAGACATGTAATGGCTATGTAATAGATCAGAACCTTCATTCTCCTTCTGGGACATTTCCCTGAAGCGAATATACCTTTATATTTTCTACTCTTCACTTACTTGTCAGCAGGTCAGCATTGATGTACAGAGCCGACTAAAGACCTTGTTTATATCATCATATTGAAGCCAACTCCATCGATCAAGCCAGTGTGGCTGAAACTTTCTCTCCCTCTTCTTCTCCTTCTTCTCATACTCCCTGTCACTCTCCTTTAACTCTTCCGGTGACATTCTTTTATTTGAAGATTGTTTTTTGCCCGGCGCTTGGCCGGTTACCGTTGGTATTAAAAACAATTTGGCGAATGGTTAGGTGGTGCGAAAGTCTAGTGCGCTCCGCAGCAAACAGCTGTTTGCTTTTCACCCAACAATGACAACCGCCTCACGAAACGCTATGTTGTAGCATTAATAAACGAAACAATTTAACAAAATTGCTTGTCAAAATACCAACACCACAGGACCATTTTTTTTAAAGCCATATTTTTAGTGGCCCGAGCGGGCAAGTGGAAAGTACGTTATGCTGGCCCGGGGGGTCTGAATAGTACCAAAAAAAAAAGAAATTATACAATTTACAAAAAACACATCCTGTAACAAGTTCTGAGGATTTATTTATTTAGTTTTGATTAACGGCATATATGTATATTGCACATATTGCACATAGTTGTGTGTTTATTACAGTAGTAGAATTGTGTAAATACCATAATGGTTGTAAAGACTGCGGTGTTTTAAATATAAATGTCCTCGTGTACCTGTTTGATGATGGCGGCGGCCTCCAGTCTGTTTCTTCGAGCCGTGGCCTCGTCGGTCAGATGGCTCCACATCTTCTTCAGAGTGCTGATCCACTTCTGTATTGATCTCTGATTGGGTTGACTCTGTTTGGACTGAAGATCCTGACCTCTACCCAGAATCCCCTGGTACAGAGACTCCTGGGCCTGGAGCTCCGCCTCCAACACCTGACAGGATAGAAGTAGGAATATACAAATCAATATTATGGATTAATTGGATTGCAATAAAAAAAAGATTATATTATATATCGTTACACATGTTTTTTTTTTCTTTGATATTTTTCTGAAGATATTTAAAATGGCACTGTCGTATACATTTAATTAATCCATTTGATAATATGTAATCAACTTAGACACCCCTCCCATAAAAAATTAAAAAACATAAATTACAATAAAAATATTTATAACTCATATTCGTATATTCGACTAATCATTCCCATCCCTATTACATATATTTTTCCAAACTATATTTTTGCATATTCATATTTTTTTTAGGTATTTATACGTTTAAAAAAATATTTATAATTGTATGTATTTATTCATTTCATGTATTCTTTTTTTTAAATATTTTTTTTGTATACATTTTTATGACTTTTAGTTTAATAAAACAAATTACAGAAAATCCCACAGTGAGAAATGTTACATGTATAGGCACTGAGGTTGCTTAAGATATTTTTTTAAAAAGTCAGAATTTCGACATTTAAAAAAAAAGTCAGAATTTGAGATTTTAAGAAACATTTTGAGAAAAAGTCAGAATTTCCAGAAAAATTCAGGATTTTGAGAAAAAGTCGGTATTTTGTAGATGACAGGATGTATGATTATCTACAAGAACCGGTATTCCTCCATCATGTGATTGTGTAACTCCCTCTTTTGTATATCAGCATGTGAAGGTGATGACTACTTCCATTCTTGAGAGGAAAATAAATACATGGATCCTGATATTGAAGCTCAAGCCGGTGACGAGCGATATCTTTCTAACATTCTGTTTATGGTGTTGAGAGCGCCACCTTGTGTTTGTGTTGAGCGAGCTGGATGTGGTTTAGATCTCTTCCAAGTCCGGCTATCTGAAGCCTCAACCAGCGCTCATACAGCCAGGCCTCCATCTCCTCAGAGTCATGGAAGAACTCAAAGAGCTTCAACTGAGCCTCCAACTGTCTCCTCCTGCAGGGGAGAGGAGGGAGGAGACAAGAGAGGAGGAGAGGGAACAAGAGAGGAGAGGAGGGAACAAGAGAGGAGAGGAGAGGAGGGAACAAGAGAGGAGAGGAGGGAACAAGAGAGGAGAAAATGAGAGATGAAGATGGAGGGACGTATTAATATATAAATGTTCATATCTGTTGTTGAGATATAATCTGTTCCTCAATCACAAACTATAAATAGAAAACTGAAGGAAACCTGTTGCTGCTGAGCGACACCAGAGATTTATACTGAGCTTCGAGAGCCCTCACTCTGCTCTGGATCTGCTGACCGTCTCTCGCTTTCACCTGAGAGAAGGAGAGAAGAGATAGGTGAGGACAAAACTCACACACACAATCAGAAGACCTCTCGTGAATTACCATGATCTAAAACGTCACCTGACAGCAGTGGTTGCGTTAGACTTTTTCGTTGTCTGTCATTTTGACGGACAGGATCGTAACATTTCCGTCATAATCCATTATTACCCGTCATTTTATTTTTCATGTTTTAATGATGAGACATATTTAATATTTATGTTTGGGTACTAAGCAGCAAATGTTCATTCATTCCTTTTTTTTATGATTCATACAGAACTTTTAAGGGCATGGAGAAAAAAAAAGATGAACAGAGACACCGACCGTGCGGTCACTTTTCATGTCGAAACGAATATGAATGATTTATTTTTTCCTTGCCACTTGCTTGTCCCTCTGCTGCTGGCTGAACGTTGTCAGTGTTAGTCTTACTGGCTTGTCCTTCATCCTCCACTGCATCAATCCCTCTTCTTTCACCTCGTTTATCCACACCATCACAATTACTGGGCTTATTAAAAAAGCTTCGGACACTCAGCTGCCGTGACATTTTGCGATTGCTAAAGCCGGTTAAACAACGAGGAAATCAACGAGGTCAAATACAAGACTAGACAATAGCTACTTAATATGCACACACTCGCCACCAACTGGACAGGGGTGTGAATTACTAAATAATAGTTACAGTAGAGTACAGTAGATCGCCCTCAGTCGACCTGGCCATAAGGATGTAATATAATGTGGGCCGCTGGTGGACATTTTGGCGCTGTTCCGAGTTGTGTTCTAATCTGTCAAAATGACGGACTGCTTTCAGAGTTTTCCGTCATTCTTGGAAAAATTACGTCATAGACGGAAAATATTCGGTTAACGCGACCTCTGCCTGACAGTATGGTGAAAGTATCACTATCATACCTTCAGCGCTGTCCTGCTGATGGCGGAGATGGTTTCTCCGTGAGCTGAGAATTGAGCTTCGAGGAGATCCTGTTTCTGGAGGAGAGACTCAACCTCTGCCAGCTGTTTGCCAAATTCAGAGGAACTGGCCTGGGACTGGGAGACACAAGAGGATAGGGGGATAAAGGGATGAGGGAGAGGGAGAGTGAAGTAAGAAGGAGGAAGGAGAAACATTACATTACATGTCACTTATTAGACGCTTTTATCCAAAGCGACTTACATACTCAGTACTGTGGGCAATCCCCACAGGAGCAATTTGGGGTGAAGTGTCTCAGGGACATGCTGACTGCAGTGGGGTTTGAACCAACGCACTAGTCCACTGCGCCACACGCCTCCCGGTTTATTTGTTCATTTTTGACTTAGGAAACATACATTTACATCTGTGGTGATGCTTTCATGGGCAAACTAGAAAAAATACTTCAATGATACAATATTTGTTTTGCATACTTTCTCTCAGAATCAAAAGAATCTACATTTGATTCTATTTTAATATTTTACACTTCTTTTATATAATTATTTGTATAAATACACATCATTAATTGGGGTGAACTCGGGTGAATCCGAATCAGAAATGTTGTATTTGTAGACATAACATTTTGTATTTTAATTTCTCTCAATGTTCTTCCAAAGTTGTATAAACACAGCTAAGAAAAAGGAGAACACAGGGCCTTTTTTTTTACACAAGATGCGATGAATTTGTGTATTTACAATCAGAAATGTACTTTTATTTTGTACATGCATACACTTTCCGTTTTCTCAGCATCCTCCGTATTAATTATAAGAGTTTCGTAGTAAACTCACTTGTAGTTCTTTCAGGTCCTGGGACACGAGCTCGATGTCTCTGAGGATGCTGAGGCTTTCAACTACATTTCCCAGCAGCCCCCTCTGCTCTTGGAGCTGCTGCAGAAGATCCTTCCATCGGTGGCTAATGTTCTCCTCTCTTTAATACACAAATAAAAACACAAAAATATGTTTTAATCAGTAAACAAACAAACAAATAAATGATGTCAATATATACATGTATTTATTTATTAAACAAGGATCACGTATATAAATGAATAACTCTCAAAAGAGATGATTTTAGCTAGATTAAGTTATTAGCTGATTTCCATGAACATCCATTGTTTTGCACCGTGGGAACGTTTGTGACTTTTTTAAGCTTAGCTGTTATAGTTATAGTTTAATATACATAACTTCTGTCATTTATAGTCAAACGGGCGTATGCTTAAAACAATGTAAATGTTGTCTCTCTCCCACCTCTCCATGATCTGCTCCTTGCTGTGGTAGTTTCCTCTCTCGATGGTCTTAGCCATGTCTCTCAGAGCAGCGAAGCGAGGCTCTCTGGCCAGAGCGTCGGTGGAGAGCGCTTCCAGACGGCGTCCGGCTGCCTGAGCCTCCTCCAGGGAAGAGAGACCCCGAATATCCTGTCTTCGGATCAGACGCAGCGTATCCTCCAGATACCCCTCCCTCAACGCTGCCTGAGACACAAAACAAACTCGCTGAGGCAAGGCAAGTTTATTTATATAGCACTTTTCAACACAAGGCAATTCAAAGTGTCAATCTAACCCACGGGACCGCGCCGCCCGGCACGTTCATGCGACGTGTTCAGTACTACATGAGTTTTACCTTTACCCATGGATGCACAATAAGAACGGATTATATGATTATATGAATACTTTCGTGACGTTTCGCTCTCTCAAAAGTTGGGCCATTTTGTCTTCATGCGCCAATGAGCAACTCTCATAGGAATGAACGAGACCCCGCCTCCCACGCTGTATCCAGTTCTTATTATACATCCATGGTTCACACGGGCAAAACTCAAACGGACTTTAAACTTTAAACACAAGTCATGTGCACGGAAATGCTGTTCAACCATTGGTCAGACATTAAGGGGGTACAAACACAAATCCCGGCCATTTCTACCGGAGCCTCCGCCATGGAGCATCGGCACTTTCGGCAGGTTATTTTCATGCTGCTGTTAATCTGGAGATCAACAGACTCTAGCAGACGGCGCATATGATTATACAATCAGACAACGTGCGATAAAAACATTATAACACATATAATGAGACACGTTCTGCAGTAAGGAGGGGGTTTCACCGACGGCAGGTGGCTCTTACTTTTATGTATAGTTTTTAGTTTGATGGTTGTTTTTACTTTACACGACACTGTTCAACACTTAATTCTGCTTCACTCTTTCCCTAACGATTCTGAAGACATCCGCGTTCTTGTGACACGTAAATACTACGCTTCCTATGTTTTGGTGCGGACTGCGTTCACACCAGCGATGATCCGCTCCAGAGTTCACAAGCAAGCGCTCCGAGACCACCTCTTTTAGACGGACCAGAGTCCGGTTGTTTAGTTCACTTCAGAGGTCTCGGACTGCGTTCACACCGACCCAAACGAACCGCACCAAGCGGGTAAACGCACCAGGGTTCGATTCAACCGGACTATACAAGGCTGGTGTGAATGCGACCTTAAACATTTGTTAGGTCAAAAATATATATTTCTTTGCAATTGAAGCTGAAGTTCACAATTATTTGAGTAACAGAATCAGTTCGTTAAGGAGATAAGAGACTCTTTGCATATTAGTTATATTTATACAAACCAGTTTTACAAAACATATATTTCCCGGGGGCTTAAGACTCTTGTAACAAAGAGAATGTTCAGCCCTAACTATACGTCCTTTTTTGAAGCATTTCGTTGCCCTCTTACCTGTACGGACAATAAAGTAGAATTGAATCTATTCTAAGAGTAAAAAACACATCTATTTTCAGATTAGATGTGTTTCTGTTCTGTTGTTTACCTTCCTCTCAAACTTCTGTGCGAGCTGCTCCAGGTTCTCCAGGCGGAGCAGAGCCTCCTGCAGAGCTCGCTCTCGCTCGTGTTCAGCTCTCTCTAACACAGCCCAACTCTTCTCTATGTCACTCAGGGTTTTACCTACACACACACACACACACACACACACACACACACACACACACACACACACACACACACACACACACACACACACACACACACACACACACACACACACACACACACACACACACACACACACACACACACACACACACACACACACACACACCTATTACTATGGAAGGCCGCACTTCATGAAAGTTATTGCAAAATAACAAAATAGTGGAATAAAAAGTGTCTGCACGTGAATGTGTGTCTATGTCGTCTACCTCTGTGTGTGTGTGTGTGTGTGTGTGTGTGTGTGTGTGTGTGTGTGTGTGTGTGTGTGTCATACCCTCTGGAGGATTGTAAGCCCATTGGTTGTTGGCAGCCAGCTGAGTCTTCAGACTGAACAGATGAGCTTCGATCGCCCCACGTTCCTAAAGACAGACAGAGACAATTAAAGGAGACAAATATATAGAAAATGAAACACTTGGGGGTATACAAAACTAAATATTTAGATTGATTTTGAACGATGTGTGTCATCTCCACACAGTTTCAATGGGCGAACAATTACAGAATGTAGTATTTTTAATAATAAAAGTAATTGATAAACAAGAAAGTTCACCTGAAGGCTGAGAAATAAATGAGACTGAAGGCTCAGCAGGTAAAGGTGACATGTTTGACTCTGATGACGTCGTCTAACCTGATATTTCGGGGGTTTCTCCACAGTCCTGTAGGTCTTGAACGCCATCATGAGTTTCTGCATCTCCCTCACAGAGTTTGGGAATCGGCGGTCATTCAGCTGCACCACCTTCAGTCAGACGATCATTCATCAGTCAATCAATAAACAGGTTAAGCATCATTTATTTACGTAAAAATACAGACACTGTTGAGTTTTGTGTCACCTTGGTTTTGATCCAGTGCAGCAGATCTGAGACCAGCCTCTCATACTGGACCTTCATGTCGTCCAGCTCCATCAGCATCCCCACGATCTGAGGAGACAGAGAGGAAAATATTCAATACTTTTGTCCTTATCACACAAAATCCTCCAAACATTTACTACACAACATTTTGATATCTCTAAACGATAATATTATGATGTTATTTTTGAAAGTAATGCCTGTACATTTTCTTCATTTTTTTTTTTACCATTTAATCCATTACAGCAATATTCAACTTGAGCTGCAGTTAAGAATAGTAAAGAATCACTTATAATATATAATATATTGTATAAAATGTCAAACTAATTGTGAAAATGGACCAGCCAACAGCCCAAAACCATACAAATATATAGTATCCGCGAGATTCCACCGGGTCCGTCTGCGCCGTGTCACGGGTGCGTCCGACCTCCTCCAGCGTCATACCCTACCGGGCGCGTTTCAGAAGCATTTCAGAAGCGGAGCGTCTTGCCTGCTGGCTCACAGTTTTTGTTGATTTGGGCATATTTCCTGGACAGGCTACTTTGTACAGACAAAGTTAATAATAACTGTAATATTCCAGTTATAAACGACTTGAATCAAAGATGTGTTGCTGTATTTTAGTGGTAATGCATTCATCATCATAATTATTCTATATATATAATTTACACAGTGCCTGTAAACCGGAGGAGAACGCTGGCATTTCTCCTCCTACTTGAAAGACTACGGAGGGATAGGGTCTGCAAAATTAGTTTATTTTGGGGATTGACTGGATGCTCTGACCGGTCCACTTCCTACCCGGCGCTATGCACCACCTCGCGTCGCGTCGAAAATAGACTTGCATCCTATTTTTAGCGGAGCCCAGCGCCGAGACGCTTCTGTGACGCTTCTGAGACGCTTCTGAGGCGCTTCTGAGACGCTTCTGAGGCGCTTCTGAGACGCTTCTGAGGCGCTTCTGAGGCGCTTCTGAGGCGCTTCTGAGGCGCTTCTGAGACGCTTCTGAGGCGCTTCTGAGGCGCTTCTGAGGCGCTTCTGAGACGCTTCTGAGACGCTTCTGAGGCGCTTCTGAGGCGCTTCTGAGACGCTTCTGAGACGCTTCTGAGACGCTTCTGAGACGCTTCTGAGACGCTTCTGAGGCGCTTCTGAGACGCTTCTGAGACGCTTCTGAGACGCTTCTGAGACGCTTCTGAGACGCTTCTGAGACGCTTCTGAGGCGCTTCTGAGGCGCTTCTGAGACGCTTCTGAGACGCTTCTGAGGCGCTTCTGAGACGCTTCTGAGACGCTTCTGAGACGCTTCTGAGACGCTTCTGAGGCGCTTCTGGGAGGCTTCTAGCCGTAACGTGGCGCGTCTGGTGGAATAGCACCCATTGACTAGAGTGGCCGCGATCGCTGTGAACGGCACGGCGCGGCGCATCCGTAACGCGGCGCAGACGGACCCGGTGGAATCTAGGGGTTACTCATAAGACAATGAAGCCTGAACAAATGTATCAACTTGGCTTACAATTACTTGACCAATATAATATATATATTAATAAAATAGTTGTTGATTAATTGTCTGTTAACTGATTAATTAAAAAACAGTTGCAGCTCTATATACATTTTTTATAAAAAGGCATAAAAAGTTAGATCTGAGAATGAGACTGACGTTTATGCTTAGTTTTCCCCCGAGAATAAATAAACCAAAACAATATTCTAACCAAGTTTGAGCTGTAAAAAATGCGACACTTCTATAAAATAATCTAAGAAAAGAGAGAGCGCCAATTCTTTCAGTGTCAACAGCATAACTCCATATAACGCTGAATGTCATTAGCATTGATTTGGAAAGTCCACCACCAGGGTGTACGATAAAACACACTGGCATTTAGATGAACCCCTAAGGAACCTTACAATTTAAATGTATGGTGTTCACATTTTTTTTTCTAGGATGCCTTCAAATGGGAACGCTGTAAACAACAGGACAGGATGACGATATATAACTAACCTTGTGGTGCGATCTGGTGGAAGTTTCTCTCCTGTGCTGCTGCTTCACTAACTGATAACTGAGACTCCCCATCATTGACATGCTATGACACCACACACCTGTGCTGTGACACACCTGTGACACACCTGAAACACCGTCACGTGACCCACAGGTAAACTACCGGACCTGGACATGTGTTTTCACCAGGTATATAAACCACTAACATTTCTTGCCCTTCTTCCATAGCATCCCAACATCAGAAGGTCAGCGAAATCACTTGTGAGTTTAGTTAACGGCACTTCTTGAGAGTCGGTATTGATAACATCTGTTATATTGTCAGAGAACAATCTTTGGAGTGTCAGTAAAGTGGATCAATAATGGAATAAAAGTCTGTGTTTGGGCTCTCCAGTGAAAAAAGTGTCTATAAAATGTGAGAAAATAGTGATAACTGTCCATCCCAGGTTCTCAAAGTACAAGGTGATGTCTCGTTGTGTCAGTCCAAATGCACATTAATATTACGTTTCATATAATTTAAAATAGAGAAAAAGCGGGTTTATGGAGAAGTAAATATTAAATAATAGCATTCTTTCTTCCATTTTTGCATGACAAATGTATTAAAGCCCTATAAAATAAGGATATAGATGGGATAGCTTCTCCACATATCTTTTGTTTTACAGTGTATATATCTTCATATCATAACAAGCCTGCAAAATGGGCATTTGTAGTTCTACCAAAGGTAAGAAATGAAGGAGTTTTCACACCAAAACATCAAACAAGAACATTTGTTTGAGTCCAAGCTTCTGAAATCCTGACGAAGCTGAGGAACAGTTTCTTTTTAAACGACACAATTGCTAAAAGAGCATCATCTGTTCTCCGTCACAAAGAAACAATCAGCTTTGCAGCGACAACCGAGCTCTGAAAACTAAAACAAAAGCTTACCAAGAACCCAAGAAACACTGATGACAAGAACTACAAACTGAACCACAATGCCTTTTAGATCCACAGTAAACTCTCTCATCCTGTCTCCGCTCCTGTCTCTCTGAACAGGTCAAGGTGTGTGTCTTCTCCTGTCTCTCTGAGCAGGTAAAGGTGTGTGTCTTCTCCTGTCTCTCTGAGCACACAGCAGGTAAAGGTGTGTGTCTTCTCCTGTCTCTCTGAACAGGTAAAGGTGTGTGTCTTCTCCTGTCTCTCTGAACAGGTAAAGGTGTGTGTCTTCTCCTGTCTCTCTGAACAGGTAAAGGTGTGTGTCTTCTCCTGTCTCTCTGAGCAGGTAAAGGTGTGTGTCTTCTCCTGTCTCTCTGAGCAGGTAAAGGTGTGTGTCTTCTCCTGTCTCTCTGAACAGGTAAAGGTGTGTGTCTTCTCCTGTCTCTCTGAACAGGTAAAGGTGTGTGTCTTCTCCTGTCTCTCTGAGCAGGTAAAGGTGTGTGTCTTCTCCTGTCTCTCTGAACAGGTAAAGGTGTGTGTCTTCTCCTGTCTCTCTGAGCAGGTCAAGGTGTGTGTCTTCTCCTGTCTCTCTCAGCAGTTAAAGGTGTGTGTCTTCTCCTGTCTCTCTGAGCAGGTAAAGGTGTGTGTCTTCTCCTGTCTCTCTGAACAGGTAAAGGTGTGTGTCTTCTCCTGTCTCTCTGAACAGGTAAAGGTGTGTGTCTTCTCCTGTCTCTCTGAGCAGGTAAAGGTGTGTGTCTTCTCCTGTCTCTCTGAGCAGGTAAAGGTGTGTGTCTTCTCCTGTCTCTCTGAACAGGTAAAGGTGTGTGTCTTCTCCTGTCTCTCTGAACAGGTAAAGGTGTGTGTCTTCTCCTGTCTCTCTGAGCAGGTAAAGGTGTGTGTCTTCTCCTGTCTCTCTGAACAGGTAAAGGTGTGTGTCTTCTCCTGTCTCTCTGAGCAGGTCAAGGTGTGTGTCTTCTCCTGTCTCTCTCAGCAGTTAAAGGTGTGTGTCTTCTCCTGTCTCTCTGAGCAGGTAAAGGTGTGTGTCTTCTCCTGTCTCTCTGAGCAGAATCCAAAGCCTTCCAAATGTGTGTTCGCTCCGTCTGCAGGTGACTTCCTGGCAGTCTGGATCTAATCCAGCAGTAATCCAAACTGATTGACAGACAGGAGGAGGGGTTTGAGGGATTAAAGGAAGTCATGGTTCGAGTGTAAGCCAATAGAAAAGGACTACAGGCAGAAGACGCTCCTGCAGTTCCCAACAGTACGCAGACGAATGCCATGTAGAGCTAAGACTATAAAATACGTTTGTGCAAAGACTGTCACCTGCAATTTACTGTTAGCATTTAGAATGATTCTACTGGCTGCTACTTCAATACTTTTAATTCACTGACAGCAGCCTGGTCCAACAGGAATGTAAACATGTAATTATTGGGCTAAAAACATGCAGAATCACCTTCAGTCTATTTCGTTTTTTGCACTGGACCTTTACTGTTGTAACTGTACATTTCCCCGCTGTGGTAAGAAATAATAATTGCTGATTCCGATCAGACAGGTGGCCTGTGCTGCAGTTCCTACAGCAGCCTGCAGAGGGGCAGGAGAGGCCACATGTTGGACAGTGACAGAAATGCACTGGTCCTATTTTCTCAGTGTGGGATAAAAAACCTGACCTTGAACTGTGTGTGTGTGTGTGTGTGTGTGTGTGTGTGTGTGTGGTGTGTGTGTGTGTGTGTGTGTGTGTGTGTGTGTGTGTGTGTGTGTGTGTGTGTGTGTGTGTGTGTGTGTGTGTGTGTGTGAGACCTTAGCGAGCCTCTTCTGGATGGTCTGTCCCTGCTTCATCTTGGAGAAGTAGTGGTAGTACAGCGAGACGTAGGTCATGATGGACTTCTCGTCCGGATGAGGAACCACCATGTCCTCCACCTCCAGCAGCTGCATGATCCCAAACTGACGCTCTGCCAGACGGAAAGCGTGATCCAGGTTTCGTAACGGGTCGTCAGCATGGAAGCGGCGATAGTCAAAAAGGTCAGGCCTGAGATGGAGAGAGAGAGAGAGAGGATGGAGCATATTGGAAGGAGAATAGACACAAATGTGTGTGTGTTTTGGGTATGTGTGTGTGTGTGTGTGTGTGTGTGTGTGTGTGTGGGTGTGTTGTGGGTGTGTGTGTGTGTGTTTGTGGGGTGTGGTGTGTTGTGTGTGTGTGTGTATTTGGGTATGTGGTGTGTGGTGGTGTGTTGTGGGTGTATTTGGGTGTGTGTGTGTGTGTGTGTTGTGTGTGTTTGATGTATTTGTGTGTGTTGTGTGTGTGTGTGTATGGGGTGTGTGTGTGTGTGTG